AAACGGGGGTTGGGGACAGAGAAAGCATTACCCACCCAATACCTGCCCCGTTTCCATCCTTGCCCTCACTTCTATATGGTTTTGACGTATTAGCCACGATGCCATCACCATTATCACACCATCTTCAGCCTTCCGAAATCCTAAGTCATGCCGCTGACAAATGGTTACGGTTGCAACGGGATTTTCACGATGTCCTTTTATATGGTGATGCTATATGCATCTAAGCATGGGAAGGGGCTTCGATCTGTTGGGAACCCGGCCCAGTCCGGGATGAGGATTCACCGCTAAACCATGGACAAGGACGGGGATGGGGGATCCCTGTTTGTCCCAAATCAGGGATGGGGCTAGGGACGGATATCGCACTCTCAGCCCCTCCCTGTTCTCATTATATATATTAATTAACAAATTAAATATATATTATTTTCAAGTAAATCRATATAATTTCWTATTTCTTAACTAGGTTTGAAATCTAACATTGTCATTTTTTTTGGATGTTAGTATGTAATATTTTGGATGTCAAGTCAAAATACAATTACTCGATATGTTTTAGTACATGTGATGTTAAATTTTTTTTTTGAATTAAATTGAATATCTTTTATTTTAGGTTATTAATCATTATATCACTATGTGATTTTTGTATTAAATTAAATTCCTTTCGATTATAGGTTTATTGAAAATATATGTAATTTAAACATGTATGGTGTCTCACATATTTGATTTAAAATAGCTTACATAGATCGGAAAAAAAAATTCTCGTTGCCCCATTGGAGATGGGGATTTGATCATATTACTCGGTAGAGATGGGGACAAAAATGGGAGCAGAGATAGGGATCAGGAACAGGGATAGGAATTGAGGTCCCCGCCCATTCCCATGCCTATATGCTTCTCTTTTATATCAGAATCAGGTCAAAGCATATTTTGAGAATGTAAAAGGCAAATGTTGATGTTGTCATGTTGATATGTATCAGGATAAAATTAATAGATAAAAGTGCATTTAGGAATATATAAGGGTGCATTTGGCCCACCTCTTTTCTATACAGAATACGACTTGTATTGAATTCTTTTTAAACAAGATCGAGTGTGAAGGATTATGTGAGAAGAGAAGTTACAATGAGAAGTGTAAGAAGATATCTGAACCTTTGATTACTTCTAATCTCATATCCACCCATGAATTTCGCTTTAGAATGGAATTGATCTCGTGCATCTTATTAGTGTTGACATTCAAGTAGGATTGATCTAAGGGTGAAGATCTCTTCTTACGCTTCTCACTATATGATCTAAGGGTGAGGATCTTTTCTTAAGCTTCTCACATAATTTCTCTTCTCACCGAAACCCAACCCTAGGATCGAAACCCAATGCTGCTTTTGTTAAATGGGTTATTTTTACAAATTAAATTTCATAGTTCTTTGTAAAGAATATTATGAGACAAATTACTTGATTCGGGTCAATTTGTGAACATCTCGCATAATCCTACACAGTAACGAGTGAAATTTTGGTAATAGAGATCGAAACTTGAATTTATTTTAGGGTAAAAAAATATTACATTTATAAAAAGATAAAATATATAATATTGAAAAACATGAATTTTTTGGAAATTTATGCCACCCCACATACTTGTAGATCCGTCATTGAATCTATGGGATATTATTGTTTGTAAGCTAAAACTCGCCCCCCGCCTCGCCCCCGCCCCCGCCTCCGCCTCCGCCTCCGGGTTTTAAAATATCGTGTTACTAATTAAAAAAAAAACTCACTTAACGTTATGAAACGAAAGACTTCCAACCTAAAAACAACATTAAGAATTACAACTATACTCGTATGCTTGTACGATTTTTATGATATCCAACTTTTGTATCCATCCCAAATCCAAAACGGGGTTACAAAATCATTCAATCTCCATCGCCCCCGATTTATAGCATCTCATATTTGCCTTGTGTGGAACGAAATAAAGCGAAACCCCACAAAAACCCGTTGGTTTTCGTATATTCCTAATTTCGATTCTTTCTTCAAGCATTTTGTGTGGCATCTTCAGTATTCGGCCAGTCTTCCAAACGTAGTACGAACAAATCTCAATCTTCAGCTTTGTTTGAAAATCACGCATAGGAACAAATTCACAAAACCCCTGTTGTCTTTATCTTTTTGTCCTGAAATACAAATTCACTTGAAGGGACAACAAATCAATTCAAAACCATCGAAACTGTTAAATATGATTATTCGGGCTTAAAAAACAAGAAAACCAAATTACTCGTGATATTTGTTGCTTGGACAACACACAATACGATTGGGTTGCCCGTAGATATTGCCGTATCTTTAGTAGGAACAAAAATCCGAGTATAATTCCTTGAGTTTATCGATGACGAATAGATCATACGTGTACTGGCTGTAGTATATAAACCGTTTTGATTATTTGGTCCCTTCCCTTTCTTTCTTTTTCTCTCGGGCTGTGGACTTGTAACTGCAAAATGGATATATTTGAAATTGAACGTTTTCTGAACTCTCTCCCTCAAAGGCAATATCTAACTTCTGGCTATATAAACTATTGAGCTAGAAGCATTCGTTGCCTTTGGGGGTCGGGCGTTCAGAAAATGTTGGCTTTTAATTCTATCAACACTGTTGCTCGACAACCCTGATGCACCCACAATGGAGATGTTACTTAAAAGTAAGTTTCAGTTGTTACCAAACTCTATAACAACAATACAGATGTAACTCATTAGTCATGTGCAGGCGTCCCTTACTTTTGATAAATTAAAATGTAAGAGCATCTTCAAAAGATTCTCCAAAATGGAGATGTTGGGTATTTTTTACTTCAACAGATTCTCCATTTTAAAGAATCTATTGAAGATGCTGTAACGTTTAATGTACCATATTAATCTGTTTTTTAAGTATATATTTATATACGGCAGTAGCATTTGGCCAATGATCCTCTGGGTCCTGCTCTATTGTTGCGGCCCTTCTTCCCTCCTCCACGGCCCTTGATTCCTTTTTCTCTAGATGTGGTTTTTCGGCCATGAATTCTTGAAGAACCTAAATCCGTTTTCTTGATCTAATGATTCATTTGGATACTGAAAGATATATATGGTATCGAAAATACTGAAAATGGGTTTTTTTGTTTAAAATTTCTGTAAATTATTATAATTTGGAATTTATGAGTTCATCGTAGACGAAAAAAGAGTACATGTTGGTCGAAAATTTTGCGACAATTTGGGAATTCAAAGATTAGTAAATGTTTTTTGGAAGTATATTGTATTTATATACAACAAATAGAACAAATAAACTCACACACCTCCTCACATTTGATGAGGTTTTGAGCCCTTGACCTTCTAAGAGGACAAAAACTCACATACCGCTAGGTCAAAAGTCCTTTGGTGATTAGTAAATGTTTCTAACAATGATAATTTGATTTAACAACAATTAATACTGCTACAGATAATGTATAGTGTATACTGTAAATATAATTATTTACTGAATGCACATTGAGTTCGTATCGAGTTACCATGACTTTTAAATGGTAACTTAATTTTTAAACATTAAACGATATAAATAAGATAACGCAATAGTTTTTCAGCTGGTATACAAAATAAAGAGTTATTTATCTTAATTTATACAGACGACTTAATCTATAAATGTTTTACTAAGCAGAAAAAACAAACGGTTCTTTACTAATCAATTTTCATCTACGACTGTTATAAATACGTTAAATTTCCCATTTATTTTTATGGTTATGTGTTTAATATTTATGTATTGGGAAAATTACATAAAAAGACATAATTTGTATTTTAAAAACTTACTTTCAAGTAACATGTTTAATGATTTGACTTGGCGGTATGTAAATCTTTGGTCTCCTAAGAGGTCAGGGGTTCGAACCTCACAAAGTGAGGAGGGTGTGCGAGTTTATTTGTTCTATTTGTCGTATATAAATATTATATACTTCAAAAAAAGATATATTTTAGGATATAACTGTAATAAAAATATTGTGTTCTCGAGCAATTTTTAAATGGTCAAAGTCTAATAGATATAGAACTCCAACATACCCCTTCTAACAGAGGCTAGATGGATACAGATTGACAAGACTGTCTAGAGGGGGGTAGCGAGAGTGTTGCTCCCCTAGAGCAATAAGCCTTAACTCTGATACCATGTGAAAATATGTCAAACCCTCAAGTTTCAAGTTTAGCCAATATGGGACTACAACGTAGTTCTAATTTGTCTTTATTTATTCCTTTTTTTTTATTAATCTGGATGTCCAACCTGCTATGCGACTCAATTAATCTCAATGCGTCCACTTACTTTGTCACTAGTCCGGAGTCACTGCATTTGAACCTTTATGGGCACAAGGAGATTTTTATTCCTCCTTGGATTTGAAATTGTGACCTTCAAACCAAGGACGAACTCAGATTTTTTTTTTCAAACAGTGGCACCATTTGGCTATAAGGAAAAAAAATATAGGGAAATTTTTTCAAACGATGACATCATTTGACTAAGAAAATAAAACTAACATGATTCGAACTTGGATCCGGAGTGGAATAAAAGTCTTGCAAACCAACTCTACCAAATAAAACTTGTTCTCATTGTAGTTTCAAAATACATACGGTGACACACAACAAATTAATACGGTTGAATCTTTCACGAACCTAAATTCTTTTACCCTTCGACGGAGGAATAATATACTAGGTCCGTCCGTGCTTCGAACACTTTTGATCTTTGGAGTTCAAGCTCAAACTAATCAACACAACCCTTATCACTGATTTGTTATATATATATATATATATATATATATATATATCATAGAAATATTTTAATTATGACATAGTAATTTTTATGTGTAGTTTTTTTATGTTATGAAATTATGATTGAAAATTTGTTTTTTATACGTGTCGTATTGCTATTGGTGCACTTCACGTGTCTTGCGATATTATTGGTTGAACCAAGTCGACGTAACTACTCCCACAAGATCTATATATATATACAATACATATATAACGACCTCAACAAACTATAAACCTGAAGAAGGGGACAGTCTTTCGCTCCAGACGTTTCACCAGTTGATCAAACACAATTAACGATCAGAAAATTCAGATCTGGCTTGTTTTCAGATCAAATCGGATAATCGGAATCAGATCTTCGATCGGTAGAATTTCATCTTTCTAGATTATGGAAGAAAGCAAGCACATACGGATGCGTTGTTCGTTGTTGTTCGCTTCGCTTTTGATCATAGATTGTTTCGTTTCAGAGATATACGCTTCTTCTGACAGTACTGTAAGTGAGATAAAATCAACATATGTGTGTTTTTAGTAGGTGTTGTGGACTGGATCTACAGTTTCATAATTGGTGACGGTTTTTCTTTGTTTTTTTGTAGATATTTTATGAATCATTCAATGAATCGTTTGTAGGGAGTTGGATCGTCTCCGAGAATGAACACTATTCAGGTAAGATTTGGTTACGTTGGGAATATATTCTATACGATTTCATTTTGTTTCTATTTGTTCATGATATACGATACTGGTATTGGATAAAAAACAACTTTTAGTTGAATACGAAAAGGAACGGTGTATGCATGATGTGGAAATGACGATCAAATCGTACTGAATGACGAAGCAATGTGTGAATGAGAATGGTGTTGGCGTGAAATTACTGGTTTGAACTGTAGAAAGGTTTAACGGAACCCGTTTTGACACACTACACACTGGTTCGATGCATGAAAACAGTATCTATTAGGAGGAGGTGATAATTTCAGTTTAACTTAATTGCACAAGGCCTTGTTAATAGCTAGGGCTTCTATACAGCTCAAATTAACAAATCCAAACTGATACACAACTTTCACCATTGATTTACGAGCCAATATTGTAGGATTTTTTTTATTATCATTGTTTTGGAACGATGATTTGCCTTTATAATTGGAATGATGTTGCAATAAGTTAGACGTATGTGCTTATTGATTGTGGTATATTCCTTCTAATATGGAGGATCCTTGGACCTCTAGTGTATTTGTGCAATTGTGCAATCAGACTTTGGTATATATGCATGGCTTTGCTGCACTTTGTGTTGGCGTCATTACACGTCACGTGTTTATGTTCACTAAATTTTCAGACATTCCCAAACATCTGTCTTAGTTTATTGACTTGGCTAGGGCGCATAATAATTGAGTTTGATGTCAAGATAACTCATGTAGATGTAATCCACATTGTGAATGCACCATTTCTCAAATCTTGTAAAAATTTGGGGACCTATACCAAATTGCAATGAATCATGGGGAGCCTGCATCTAAGTATTCACTTGCATACCTTCATTTTTATTTTACATTTTGTAGTTTAAAATAATGTTGCTTTCAATTCAAACACTCCTGATAAAATCAATCACTGGCTGGGTAGCTGAGGGTGCAATTTGGCTGTCTGCTTTTTGAATGTGTATTTTCTCTGATCATGGGTATAATGAATGCATCCCTCTATATTGTTAAATGCATTTGTACCTACTAATTTCCTCTAAACACACATTAATATCAATATCAAGATTTATTTTTTACATTTTTAATGCATGATTTAACCTAATGATGAAATATATAGGGGTGTATAGCTGCTACAGCAACACCGTTCCTGTGTATGTGAAGACTCAAGAGGGGTCATCTTATTTCATTATATATTTTGTATGCTTTTATATCGGGTTATATGAACTATTTAGTACTAGTTTTGCTAAATATCGTAACCACTTGTGTTCCTATTTGTTTGCTAGCATTATAGTACCTTTTTGCTATTAGCTCTATATAAGTATCTTAGAGATTAACTTTTTTTCTAAAAACTGAGAAAATAGGAGAGAGATCGAGTGGTTTTTCTCCAAATTTGATTGTTCATATTAACATGTTTGTCTCGTAAAATTGTATGATCGAGTGCCTCGGAAAATTTAATTAAGCTTTCAAACAAGCCGAGTTAAACATTGGTATATAGAGCTCAACTCGTTAAGTTAAACGCGTCATGTAATGTGCTCGAGATCAACTAGAATTAAGCTCGATCTCGCTCAAATTGTTAACACTCTAAACAAAGTTAAAGTATGAGTAACATGTTAGCTACTAATCCTTACCACCATGTGGGATATGCTGTGGGATATGTTGGGTTTGTTTGGTTTGGTGGGTTTACATGTGTACATTGCATTTTTCATATCTTGTAGGTGTATGGCAACACTCGAAGAGCGAGGGACATGATGATCATGGGCTTCTTGTGAGTGAGAAGGCTAGAAAGTATGCTATTGTGAAGGAGCTTGACAAACCCGTGGAGCTCAAGGACGGTACAACCGTCCTCCAATTCGAAGTTCGGCTTCAGAATGGTCTCGAATGTGGTGGCGCATATCTGAAATATCTCCGTCCACAAAACGCCGGTTGGACAGCCAAAAGATTTGACAACGAATCTCCTTACTCTATAATGTTTGGTCCTGACAAATGTGGTGCCACAAATAAAGTCCATTTCATCTTGAAGCACAAGAACCCCAAGACTGGAGAATATGTTGAACACCATCTCAAATCTCCTCCTTCAGTCCCTTCAGACCGATTGACCCACGTATACACCGCGATCCTGAAGCCAAATAATGAGTTGCGGATCTTAGTTGATGGAAAAGAGAAAAACAAGGCCAATTTCATGTCATCTGACGATTTCGAGCCATCACTAATCCCTGCAAAGATGATCCCTGATCCAGATGATGAGAAACCCGAAAATTGGGATGAGAGATCAAAGATTCCAGACCCGGATGCAACTAAACCGGATGATTGGGATGAGAATGCACCGATGGAAATTCTAGACGAGGAAGCTACAATGCCGGAAGGATGGCTAGAAAACGAGCCGGAGGAAATCGACGATCCCGAGGCATTGAAGCCTGAAGATTGGGACGATGAGGAGGACGGTGAGTGGGAGGTTCCGAAGATTGAGAACCCGAAATGTGAATCTGCACCGGGTTGTGGAGAATGGAGGAGGCCAATGAAGAGGAACCCGGATTATAAGGGTAAATGGCATGCTCCTCTTATCGACAATCCGAATTATATGGGTATCTGGAAACCTCGTGAAATTCCCAACCCGAATTATTTCGAACTCGATAAGCCCGACTTTGAGCCAATTGCTGCTGTTGGTATTGAGATCTGGACAATGCAAGACGGTATCTTGTTCGACAACATTTTGATCGCGAACGACGAGAAGAGCGCAAAATCGATCAGGGACTCGACATGGAAACCCAAGTTTTCTGTGGAGGAAGAGAAACAAAAAGCAGAGGAAAAAGCAGCAGCTAGTTTTGAGGGTCTCAAAGGGATTCAGGTACGCATTTATAATCTTTTCTACTTCAGTTATACTTTGGACTCTTTTTTCCTTCTTAATATACAATGGAATCTCTCTCTAAAAGTCTATAATTTAATAGGATTTTACGTATTTTCGCATGATAGCAAAACCAAGATCTACACTCTAGAAACTCGACAGTCTGAGACAATCTATACTCGTCTAGCTCTCTCACCCATTTGCCACTCTCAACAGCGGCGGGCCTATGAAGTCCCCTCAACCAATTTTCACAAATAGAATTCTTTTGTGGTTATGAAAGGTGTATACGCTAACTTTAAGGAGTCCTCTTGGATGTTATAAAATACAAGGGACAATCAACAGAAAAACGGAAAAAGTCTGTAGAAATCAACCAAAAAATGGAAAACCCCATAAATGTCAAACAAAAAAACTTCAAAAAAAATCTTTTGAAATGGGGGAATTCAGACGTGGGGTGACTTTGCGTGTCTTTGATCCACTTTAAAGATGCATATGGTCAGCAAAAATCTTAGGTCTTGACACTCTGAGACAATATGTGATGGTTTCTGTTAGATCTCACTCTCAGATCAGCTAATAAGCATTATTTCTCCTAAATATGTTAGAACCTCATTTGTCTCCTTAAAAGTTTTTTTAAAAAGTAATCTAACATTATGAATTATATGGGTTGTGTTGCAGAAAGCTGTGTTTGATGGTCTGTACAAGATTGCAGAACTACCATTCTTGGGTGCACACAGGACAAAACTTTTGGTAGGCTTTAATTAATTAATTTATGCGTTTGATTGGTGGTATTTGAGATTAAGGCAAGTGGTGTGGTGTGGTGATTACAGGAACTTGTGGAGAAGGCTGAGGAACAACCAAAGATTACAGTTAGCGTCGTCGTTTCAATTGTTGTCATCATCTTTAGCATCTTATTGAGGATGTTATTTGGTGGCAACAAAGCAGTTCAAACCAAAGTGAGCCTTTAATTTTCCCATTTCTTTTTATATATATAAGTGCTTATGAACATGGAAATTATGTGAAATAAGAGCTCATGAACATGGAAATTATGTGAAATAAGTGCTCATGAACATGGAAATTATGTGAAATAAGTGCTCATGAACATGGAAATTATGTGAAATAAGTGCTCATGAACATGGAAATTATGGACTAACGTGGCAGACGTTAACAAATGTTCATGGATATGTTCATTTATTGGGATTCATAATTGTTAACAATGTTCATGGATATGTTCACTTATTGGGATTCATAATTGTTAACAATGTTCATGGATATATATACATATATATATATATATACACATACATATATACATACATACATACATACATACATACATACATAAATACATACAAACACGAAGGATCGTATGAAAATAAAAGTTAAGGTGAGAAGTTTAAAGAAAGAATTTGGATGCTTAAATCAGTTTTAGTATGAATGAAAGTGTTTGGGATTAGTGTGAAAAGCTAAAGGAGTTGTGGATGTAAAAACAGGGAAAGGTGAAGGTGGCAGTGACGGAGAAGGATGAAGGAGAGAGCAGGATGAGCAAAGAGGATGCAAATGCTCCTCGTAAGAGAAATGCAAGGCGTGACAACTGATCCTGATTCCAATTTTGATGATATTAGATTTATATTTTTAATGTAGGCAGGCAGCTGCCAGTGTTGGCCCCTATATTATTATTTATTATTTATTTATTATTTATTATTCAATTAATTTATTCTGGTTATAATTAGTAGGTTGTAAAGGACCGATTTGTCTTACCTAAATTCAGATTCTTTATTCCTTCTTTCAACCATGTACAACACCAAATTTTGAGTAATAATTTCAAAACCTCTTTCCTTTATATATAATTAACAAGTATTGAGCTGCCCAAAGTTTTGTTAAAACTAAATATCAAAGGGAAATCCATCCAAATATCTAATCTCATTCATCAATTTCACTTTTTAGTTATTTTCAGAACCAATTTTTTTTTATTTCAATCAGAATCTGATATGATCTGGTATGTGATGTTGGACCCTAATCAGACTAAAAACCAAGCAAGTGCATAATTGAATCCAAAAGAGAAAAGGCCCGTCCAATCCGCCTCCAACCCAAGATGTATCCGTAACCTTAAACGTCCTCAATTGATGAATGATTATATGGTGTGATTATGTGAAACAACTCTCTGTTGTTTGCTTTATTCCCAATAATCGATTTCTGTTAGGGTTGTTTATTCTTGTTTCTACTTGTTATAAGTCATGTAATTGAGGTATGAGGTATTATCGATCAATCAAGAAAACCTTCTATCTATTGTCTCTCTTCTTCTTTTTTCTTTGTATTCACGTTGGGAGCTCACACTCACTGAAAGAGTGCTTATTTGCCTTCTTTTTGTAGAAATTAGGCGTATCATTAGTCCAACACCACAGACCGGATTATATCATTCTTCCCATCATGTATATGTATATGTCTTGTGCATTTGTATAAAGCCTATTGTCATATTTGAAATTTTTTTACAGAAATGTGGATCCTTACACGAATTTGCATATTTTTTTCTTTTAATCTAGAAATCGAGTTTACGTAAATGCTTAAGACATCTATATAAACTTTGGCTAAAATATAAATTTGATTGAAAAAATGGTTAAAAAGTAAATTTAGTTGAGAAGATTGGCTATTTTGATAAATTTCCTAAAAAAATGACATTTTAATATTGTTTATTTCATGACCTTTAAACATCTAGTGTAAACCTAGTGCTTTTGTAGAATCTTGAAAACAATACGAATGGGTCTTTAACCTAACGATATTGTAGCATTTGATCTCCTAGGAGATCAAAGATTCAAACTTCACCAAAGGTTAAGAGGGTATGTGAGTTTTTTTATTGCATTTGCCGTATATAAATATTATATACTTCAAAGAAAAAGTATAATTAATCTTCAATGATGAAAAACTTGTAAAAAGGTATTATATTATTGGTTTGATTATTTACGGAAAAACTTTTCGTGATATAACATGTAACTATAAAATTTCAATTATTAAGTATTATAATTTATGGGGTGTTTGAGATTACTTATAAAAACAATTTATTGACTTATTCCGGTGTGACACCGGTAATAAGCACTTTTGAGTGTTTGTATAAACAACTTATACCGGTGTCAGACCGTTAATAAGGAGTTTTTGAAGAAGTTAAATCATTCTAACTTATAATAAATTGATAAAGACTTTTGTAGAATAAATTGTTTCAAATAAGCAATCCCAAACACCCCCTTAAAATATTTGTAATTGAATTAGGTTTGTTTGATTTTATTTTTATACAAATACAATAATTAAAATTTAGTTGATTAATATATTGTTTAATCATAAAAATGACATTTACAAACATAATATATAAAGATATTACATAAATATTAAATTTGTGTAGACAAACGAAATCCCCAATTCCTCCGATGAATACCCCCATTTCTCGATCAAGATGGGAATGGAATCTTGTTCCCACATGAAAATGGATATTGGGGATTGAGAAAGGGGTCCCTCAAGACTCGCAATGGAATCTTATTCCCTGATCATCATAGTAATCAATTTACAAAAATTTCCTCTCACTCTATAGATTTTCTAGTTTTTTCAATAACGGGTCGTTTACCAATTCTTACTAGATAAGTGTTTATCGGTAAGATTCAACGTCTTCACTTAACTTGCTGGTAAGATTTTGATCTATTAAAACGGCACATTTTTATCTGGTAAGTGTTTGCTGAGAAATAGTCATCCATCTCACTTACCCGGTAAGAATCGTCACTCTACCAAAAGGTTTTTGGCCTAGCGGTATTGTAGTTTTTGGTCTCCTAAACCTCATCATAAGTGAGGAGGGTGTGTGAATTTATTTGTTGCATTTAATGTATATAAATATTATATACTTCAAAAAAAATCGTCATTCACTTATCGGGTAAGACTCTTCGGTCCTTATCATCACTCTAAGATTCTCAATCCTTGTCATGTCCATTCGATAAGATAAAGTGATCCGGTAAACACTTATCAGGTAAGCGTTTAGTAAACGACCCCTATTTCCATCTTAGAGCATTTTCAATGGCTATTTTATTTTAGAAATTTTGGAGATTTTAGGAAAAATTTGCTCCAAAAAAAGTTTAGAATGGAAAATTTTCCAAATTTATAAGAAAAAAGAGTTAAAAATATAGCATACCTGTTGGAGATGCTCTTAAAACGCTAACCCCGTAGCCGAGCTGGGAACCGACGAAACATCATGTTGCAACCTTGCAAATAAAATGGTTAAAAACTTGTTCAAAATAACATAACTGACAAGACTTTGAATTTACTCCTCAGGATTTATCAACTAATCGAGTCTGAAACCACAAGGCCGGTACCCGATTGGTTTGAGTTTGGACTCCAAAGGTTAAAAGTGTCTGGAAGTCCCAGGTTGGAACCCAAGGAGAAATAAAATCCCCTTGTGACCACGGAGGTTCAAATGCGGTGACTCCGGGTTACTCACAAAATGGGTGGTCGCCCTGGGATTAGTCAACTCACATAGCGAGTTGGATATCCAGGTTAATCAAAAAATAATAATCAGAGTCTGTCTTGCTGTTCAAAAGAAATAAATTTATAAAGAACATCATCAAACATCTTTATGCTCTCCTACAACCCACCCCTACCCTCCCATCCTCTTCTTATTAAGACTATATATAAATAAAAATAAAAAAATAAATCCCCAAAACCACGAAAAAAAAACCCGAAAAAATTCTCATTCTAATTGTAACTATAATGACCTCAGCTCAGCTCAACTCAACTCGACTCAACTCGATTCAGGTGCTGCAAAAGGTTTAGCGTTTACCGGCACCGGTTTTCTTAATGGGCGGAGGATTCTCGTCATCGTCGGACTGGATATCGCCGTACTCCCACATCCCCAACCGCTGTCTATGTGCTTCTGATTGGTGTTTTTCTAATTCATTCATGGCTTCTTGTTTCTCTTTAGGTTCCCATCTCCTTCTTTTCTCTAATCTTGCTACTCCTTCCTGCACAAGTATATTAAGAGCATATACAACAGATTCTCTAAAACGGAGAGTCAAAAACCAAAATCTCCAAAAAACGATACATTTAACTGCAACAGATTCTCTAAAACGGAGAGTCAGAAATCAAAATCTCGGAAAAAAATTACATTCAACTGCAACAGATTCTCTATTTTAGAAATTACAACTTTAATTATATTATTAAAATAAAAAAATGATATTATCTTTTGGGGGCAGGCCCGGCCTAAAAAACCGTGGCCTAGTGAGCTGAAGCCCAGGCTGGGCCAGGCCTCAAAGCCTGATCAGCCAAATTTTGGAGGCAGGCCCAGCCCGAAAAGCCCATATAAGTCCAAAAAATCCCGATTGGACCCTTTTTCAACCCCAAAGCTAACCCTTTTTCGCTCACTAAAAATATGCTCGGAAGGCTGGGCCCAGGCCAAAAAAAGCCAGAGCCTTGTGCATCTCTATACAAGAATGCCACTAAATTTGTCGAAAGGTTATGTTGTCAATAAAAATTCTCATGTATGGTTATCGAGCAAATAGTCCATAAATGGGGGGATTCAAATCATACGAACCTTCAGCATCATGGCATTGACACTCTTACCAGATTCGTCATCGATCAAAGTTACCAAGAGAACGTTCCCAGTTCCTTGGCCTTTAACTTTTCCGCCAGATGTATCCTTTTCCTCGATCACGGCTCTGAATTCCTTTGGACCATTGAGTGTGGTGTCACTTAGAAGCATAGCTGCTTCCTGACCGTAATCCTCATCCAATGTCGGAACCTTTAGGTACACGAGGCTGCAAAGTTGAGCAATCCCAGGTGCAGACGATACTGATGGATCCAGAGGACGCAAGTTGTTATACGCAACAACTTCTTGATTTCCATAATCGATGTAAAAAACTTCAAATCTGTCTTTAGCTGATTGAACACCACCACGTGGAGCAGTTACAATCTGACACATTTGGAAAAATCGAGGATCGAAGTTAAGAATTGATATCTCTAGAGGTACAAAACAGAGTTGGGGCCTGTTTGGTTGGTTTTCCATTAAGTCTTGTATGGATAAAATTGTCTGTGTGGATTAATCTGTCTATATAGATTCGGAAGGTTTGTGTTTTGGAAGGTTTTTTCATAGTTGGAAAAAAGTGTTCTTTAATTGGGAGATAGGTTTGGAAAAAACATGGCTTTCTGCATAACGCTCCCCCAAGAAGCTTACTGAATAAGCCAGTTTCTATCATTAAGCCACTACCAAACATAGTCATGTATAGCTGACTGAATAAGCTGCGTCTCATTAAGCTCATTAAGCTGCTAACAAACAAGCCCTTATTCTTCACGGGCACCAGGGCGAGGTGCTCATTCTTTGCTCAAGACGTGTCTCTTTGTGTGTGTTGACTTTTCCAAGTTGTTGAGAATTTTTAGTTTGCTTTTAGATTTGCATTAGACACACAAAAAGACATGTGTCTATGTGTACGTATGTATATATAGGGGGCTAATAATGTGAGAACCACAAAAACTAGGATTTAAGGTATTGTTTTGCAATGTGAAACTTTTTTATGTGTTTTTTGTATCACAACATGTAAAGAAAAACTATATTGTGAAACAAGTATATGTTGATCAATACCTTAAATCCTAGTGTTAGATGAAAATTTTCATGTGAAACAACACATAATTCACTGCTTCTCACGGTTTTCGAACTTTTTTGAGGTTCTCACTTGATTATGCCCATATATATGTATATGTGTATGTATGTATGTATGTATGTATGTATGTATATACATACATACACACACACACACACACACACACATATATATATATATATATATATATATACGGGGCAGGTTTAAATGAGAACCGTACATATTTTAAGAAACTAGGAACCAACTATTTTATTAATTATTCATGATGAATAACACTAAAATATAAATGAATATCATGCATTTTCATTATTCATGATAAATAACCCTTAAATATTATTAATGATATTCATTATGAATGATTCATGAATAGTTGGTTCCTAAGTTCTCAAAATATTTACAATTCTCCTTTGAAGCTGCCTCATGTGTGTGTGTATATCACATCCTTGTAACCCAAATTTTACATAATTATCATATCCTAGTATCTCACATATCTTATGCAAAATTGCCCTCACCCTATGGCTGCAAAGCCATGGTATGTGTAACAACTAGGACAATATAGGGATTCTTGTAGAAAAGCCTACAAATCCCATAGTCGCTAAACCAAATCATCCCTTTTGGGATATGTTGTTTGACATATTATCGTGTATCAATCTTGACGAATCTGTCACTCTTAACTCAAGGACAAATGAAACGGGTATGCAAACTAAAACACAAAATGACACTAACCATTGCTCGGTTCCACGAATTATCTGCAGTAAACTGAGCAAGGACAATATCGCCCTTCTTTGGACTGAATGAGCCAAGCACTGGAGCTTCTTTGAGATTTAAAGAAGCAAGTTGCTTTTGAATGGAAGCAACTTTCTGATCAGCAACTGCTTGGACGTAAAACTTGCCGCCACCAAGGACCTCAGTGACCATCACCTAGGAGCAAGCAAATAAAGAACATGAATCAGATAGCGGTTACATACACAGCATGTCAAGTTAATCTAGTGTAAGTACATCAAGAGACCTTAAATTCTTCTTTCTGTTTTCTATCATGAGCTGGATCGTTGGAAATTTGCTCTCCTTCGACATAGTTTTCCCATATCTGCAACAAAAATTTCTTTTAGATTAAACCAAACCATACCGAACGAACCCAAAATATCTTAAAAACTCGTCCCACATGGATAGAAATTGGGATCTGTGAGCTCCGTATAAGGCTCAAGTTGTGGGCTACGAATAACATAGTTTTAAGTTGGATTCGAAGTTATTGGGCCAGCATGTTGCTTTGGGCTTCGGGGTGTTACAGATGGTATCAGAGCCAAACCTCATCGGGTACGATGAGTCCTCGAGGGGGGGGTGTTATAACATCTTAGGCAAATCCCACATCGCTGATTACAAAGAGGGAGATTCTGGCTGACGAGGACGTCAGGAGTCTAAGTGGGGGAGTTTGTAACAACTCGGTCCCACATTGATAGAAAATGGGACTTGTGAGCTCCTTATAAGCCTCAAGTTGTGGGCTACGAATAACTTCCACCATGGTTTTAGGTAGGATTCGAAGTAATTGGGTCAGCCTGTTGCTTTGGGCTTTGGGATGTTACAATATCCTAAACAGAGGTCGGGTTTGGGGAGGGTAGGAGGTAGGCAGACCTTACCTCTACCCCAAGGGGTAAAAAGGTTGTTTCATGAAGATCCTCGGCTTGCAAAAGAAAAAAAAACAAGTGCAGTAAGTAGCAGTGAAGTGTGTGCAAACAAGCAAAACAAGCACAGTTTGATGAAACAAACTACTAAAGCAGGAGGAACACTAGATTTGGCAAACAGTAAAAGCAAGTAAAACTAAGGTTGGCATTCAGTAAATTAGATTCGATTCCAAAAATCTGGCATCTCGATATAAACAGAATCAAGCTTCTTACCTTCAATTTCTGTCTCTTGGCAAACTGCTCCGCTTGAGCAAGAAGGTGAGCATCTGGAATTCTATCAGTTCCAAAGGAAGTCTGAAGTCTTGCAAGGCCAGCTTCCAGAAGGGTGATAGCGACATTAGTTTTTGATTCCCATAACGAACCCAAGAATGTACCGGTTCTATCAACAGTTTCTACTTCAATCTAAAGCCAAAAGATAATATAATAAATTAGTAGAAACAAAGATGAAAAAAGTGTGCATGTACGGGAGAGGTGATCATTTGTGGGTTTCAGCCGGACACGAGCCAGGCCCAACTTTTTTTTGTCTAACGAGCCTAATATAGCAAAACCAATCCCTTTTTTGCGGGTTTGATAAGTTGCCTCACCTGCCCTATGAACGGGTAGGCCTTGCCATGGGCTAATAGGCCTAAAAAGTCTTTTACCTTTAAAAAAACAGAACCAGTCTAAAATGATAAGCTATGTAAAATCGTTCAAAATACACCATTTTCTTTATAAGAAGCCCAGGCCCACAGAGAGCCAAGTTGGGCTTCTACTAAGTTTATTTTTACAAAACTTAAATAATTATATTTTTGTGAAAAAATATAAACAGACCAGGGGGCTGTCCAATACTATTATTGCATCACCCATGTCCGCAGATTAATCATAATGGGTCGGGCCAGGCCCGCTCATTTTTTTAGGGTGGTTGTCTAAGCTCGCTTTTCTAGCGGGCCGTCCTGTCCATGAACAGGTGCAGGAGCATAGAACAAAGGGAGATGGAGTGGTACCTCAACATCCCTCTGCATTATTTTCCATCTCATAAGTGATATAGCTTCATTGGAATAAGGCTCCTCACGACCAGGGCATCTGACACCGGAGAAAGAGAAAGCAATGCTGCAGGTTTCCTTAGGAACAAACAGTTTAAACCGATGGCCACTAAGGACATATTCAACAACAGCTGACATCCTCCGGTTACGTTGTAGAAATGGAAGGAAATCTTTGGCTTTTTTTGCTGATGCCTGAAGTGAATTACAATTAGAAACAATTGAACGTTTAATACTCCCTCCGTCCCGTAATAACTATCCACATTTCTATTTTAGACTTCTAGTTTGACCTATAACAAGTGTCCACTTTCAAAAGCAAGTGCCTACATTCCCATCCTACCCTTAATTATGAGATGGAGAAATTCATTACTCCCTCCATTGTTAAGGATACGATAATGATTCAGTTAATTAAAAAGTGTAGTAATTACACATTCTAAAATTGTGTTCCTTTTTTATTGTGGACATTTATGTTCAGAACGTAGGGAGTAATTTAGAGATGGCCAAAATGGGACCGGCTTAGGACTGGGACCGGCTTAGGACTGGGACCGGACCAGTTACGATTTATGTGAAATTCAAGGCCTGGCCCCATCCGAGACCAGTTATGCAACCGGTTTTACATAGGCCCAATTTTTTTTAAGTTACATTGTTATAAATTGTATATCAAGTTTTTCAACACTTCTACAAGATTTCAAGTTTTTTTACCAGAACCTTCAATTTTTGTGAAGTTTTTCAAGTTCTTTTTGAAGTTTTATTGAAGTGTTCCAATACTAAATTTTTAAAATCGTAATTATAGAAACATTTATAGCATTTTTGTGTGAAAAAGATTTCAAATTTTTTTTGAGTGTATTTTAATGACCCAATTAGAGATTTAAAGTGTATTTCAATACAATATTATACAAAAAGAAATCTTCAAACACGGTCATTTTAAATGTTTAAAATTGACTTTCCGGAAAGAAAATGTTGGGACCAATTTGGGACCGGACTTTTTACATGGAGAAAGGCCGGAAGTTTTTGGTTGGGAACGGAACTGGTTACCATGGGACCGGTTACAGAAGGGAAATCTCGGATCGGGACCGATTTGGGCCCGGCTAGGGCCAGGACCGGAGTTTGGTCATCTCTAGGGAGTATTACACATAAAATAGTCATAAACAGATAATTATCGTCAGAGATGGAAATCCTAACCGTCAAGAGATCCATGACATGCATAACTGGAGGATCTTTGGAAGAATGTATCCCCTTCCTCCCAGCAGTAGCGCGTGATTCAGCAGCAAGAAGATTCTCATAGTAATTCGATCTTTCCTCGAAATCTCTGTGTCTAATGACAGCGCCAAAGCCACGGGCAATAATGAGTTCAGCAACATTCACACCAGGCTGCTGCCCACCTGCAGGGAGGGGAGCGGGCGAGACATCCTCGCTATCCTTCCCTTGAGACAACAGGAAGACTGATCCAAAGCCCATTACTCTTGTATCTGCAGGCCCAGTTGGAGCAGTGGATCCATCGGCCATGGGGACCTTTCGAGAGTATTCCATTGAAACTTGTACCTAAAGAACAAAATAACATGCAACATAAATGTCTACAACTTCCTCTTAAGAATTTTAAAATGTAATTTTACACAAATTGAATGATGTAGACCCTCTGTCGAAAATACAAGAGCTTTTTGATCACATAGTAAAGACTTAAAAAATCATCATTTGAGCAGGGTTTTGCAGAAAGTCATCTGATCCAATTCAAACGAACCAACCCAATTAAAACCATCCGACCATAATCGGATATCCAATTGTAATTGGATCGTATTGGATCTAAAATTTCAACATCCAAATTGGATCGTTCGGTTCTTGGATGACAGTCCAGGATCCAATAAAACTGAACCGATCCAGTTCCATGATCTCCAATTATCATCCAATTATCATCGAACTACCATCCAATTAATAACTATATATAACATTTTACTATATTGTTTTTTAGTTGATATATATACTTGGTGATATTTAATAAATTAAGAAAATATATAAATAATCAACACTTGATTAATTGGTTGAAATTGTATCACAATATTGGATGGATCCAATTCGATCCAATTGATGGAACCAATTCAACCCAATCATCCATTGGATTGGATTGGATCCGATGTCCAATGTTAATTGGATTGGATCAGATGTCAAAATCCAACATCCATTGGATGATTGGATTGGATTGGATTGGATCCACCTAAATCCTTTGGATTTCAACCGATGAACACCCCTAATTTGAGGTATAATCTACCACCAACTCACCACCACTAAAATCTTGTCCACAAAAAAAATCAAACTCATCGTCGCTAGGCATCTTAAAGGTTGCATATATATACATACACATACATATTGGTTGTTTCAAGAAAAATGAGCTATTGTCAGCAGAATTGATATGGCTAGTTTAAGTTAACTTACCTGACGGCCAATTAAGCGTGTTCTTAGAAATTCCCTTGCTTCACGGGCATAAGGAGCAGGCTTTTCGTCTCTTCGGGGATTTCCCAGTTTGGGACACCTGATGCTTGACAGGTTTACTCGTCGCTCTGCTGCTGGACTGCCAAATGGTACAGCATCATCAGCAACAATGATGCAGTCTCCACTAACAACTTCAACCACCTGTAGATAGTTGAAAACCGCACATAAGTGAACTTTGAGAGACGCTGAATAGTGGACAAGCTTGATGAAGATCTCGTCGTAAATAACCAACCTCTCCAGTGAAACTATCTGAAATTGCCTTTGAATTTGTAGCTGGGGGTACATAATTTGTCCAGAGCCTCAACTTACTCTTCTTTGCTTGAAGTTCTGCAGCCTTCAACTTCCTCCTGGCTTCATCTTCCATCATGATTGCACTCCACTCAACATACTTGGCAAACCCCTGAACAGAAGCAGGTAACAAAATAGCAACAGGAACCATCAGATGCTTTGTCATTGCCTGAATTCGCTTTTTAAGCCTGTAATGTAACCATAATACCCCTACACTGATGCCAATGTTTCCATTCCACTAATATTTTGAATATACAGTAAATACAGCTATTCCCCATATAGCGTTGTTCAGATCATCCACAGTTACTTAAGGAGGAAGGTAGTAGGGGGGAATACTTGCACAGAGAAAAAGAACACCAAAAAATCTGGTGCAACTAAGGGGACGTATACCCAATGCTTACCCGGTAAGCGCTTACCGGCAAGATTCAACATTTTCATTTTAACTTACCGGGTAAGATTTTAGTCCATTAAAACGGCATCGTATGCAACAATTGATCCAATAAGCGCTTTCCGGGTAAGAGTCGTTACTCTCACTTACTAAGTACGAGTCTTGGTCTTTATCATCACTCTTACCGGGTAAGATTTTCAATCCTTGTCATGCTCATCAGATAAGGTAAATATATATACACCAATATATGTATATATACTACACAAATATATATATATATATATATATATTATATATATATTATATATACAGTATATATAATACTAGATTACTAAGGGCATTGGTTCAGTGGTTCTTGACAGAGGAAAGAGTGAAACAGTGAGATAGGCTGAGAAGGTGTGGAAAAATTGTTAGGAAGAGGAAGATTGAACTACACTTTAATTAAGAGGAGAAAGTACTAGCATTTTGGGTTTCAAAATGTTAGAAGTACACATTGGGGCCATTAGGCTTTGAATTTTAGTTATTTAAAATAAAAAGACATTTATGCTATAAACAGAAGTACTACTACTGCCATAAAGCTTATAAAAAAGCCAAAAAGAACCATTAGCAAAGCAGATCATCTGAGGCGTGTGCCTCGACAACGCCTCATGCCTCACCGAACCAAGGCGTAAGCCTTGTCCATGGTCCAAGAGGTGCTGCCTCAGGTGCAGTTTTAGGCCGCCTCGCCTCCAGGCGTATACCTCAAATGATTTTTAAAACCATGGTGATGTGCAGGACACTTCATTCTTGTGATGCACGTGACGTACATTACTAAAAGGGCCAAGAGGGCCATTATTTTTTAGAAGTACATGTTTGGGGTTTCAAATGACCACAACATAAGCACAAAGGAACTGAGCAGGAGGCAAAGCATACAAATTATTTACATATGTGTCTAAGCCCCATAAAAAAATAGATAGCACTACACACAAGCGGCAATAAAATTGAACTCTAAAAGATTGTCAACGAAACATAGTGTCTAACTTTGTTTCATTGGTTTAAACATCCAAAAACATGAAACTCTCACAAAGGCATAAAAGTGATAAAGATGACTGCTTATAACAATAAACACATGGAGGAGAAGCAGGATGACGTCACCATTTAAACACCAACAAAGGAAGTGATTTCCCAATAAAGAAAAATGAAAAGTGAAAAACAATATGATTAGGATACTATATCAACATCCATGACAATTACTTCAATAATAAATGAAAAATGAAAAGAGAAACATAAAGTAACTATGATGTACCATGTCAACATTCCTAACAACATAGACAGCCATGCATCATTATCATGGTCGGCTTAAAAAAGAAAATCTTACATTTTCAATAAGCTCCAGTGCGAGGTCCTTTGCTGCTTCACCGTCAGGGTAATAGACGGAACCTATTAAATTGCTAAACTTGTCAACGCCCTCCAGAACAATCCGGACCTGTAAATTACTTTGTTAATTAAACAATGAAAAGTGGAAAAAAATTTAGGGAGAGAGAGAACAAAGCAGGAGACACATTCAACTCAACAACTGTATCTAAAACAGATTATAGGCATTGGGTGGTGAATACTCACTCTGGCTACAGAAGTTACATTGCATATACTCCAAAAGAAAAATCAATAATGCACAAGTAATCGTGACACGACTTACATCTCTATTTAGTACGCGAATCTCAGTAAAATGTTTAGCTTCCCTTCCATACGGATCAGGGGCAACTTCATTGTAGGCTGACGAAGCTGTAACTCTCTGTGCCGATGTTAAGGTGCCACGAATCTCGCCATTAGTTTCTCCATTGGGTTCATCAGAGGGTACCTCAGTTGTTGCAGTAGGTTCAGCCATTGTCCTTCTTCCCATTGAAGGTGCCTAATTAGCAATAAAACAATTAACTGTGTATCTGCAGTGAAGTATTACTGCAAAATCTCAATAATAACTAGTAGTGAAGAAAATATTGATCACAAGAAAATGGGAGATCCATACCTGGATTCCAGCAACAAACACTTGGACAAACTGAAACTCTGGAAGCAGATAAACACGAAGCGAGCTCCCATCACGAACTTGCTCTACAATTGCTTCCATGGGTCTGCCTTTGTTTGCAGCTAAGAGCCCCATTGCATCTAAATTGCTTGGGTCACCAACAGATGAGGGTGGAAGATTCCTGATGGCTGCTGCAGAAGCACCGGGAGCCTAGAACCAGCAACAGAGTGACCACATATAAGCAGATGACAATAAAACTTAACCGTAATATCAATATGAAGTCCAATAGGTCCTAGTGGCTGGAGTAAGCAAAACAAAGCTCCAGTATATATGAAAAGTTGCAAGTCCAAGTTGATATCCTATAGAGTCTCCTATTTCCGTATGCCAATCTTGAATTATTTAGTGATTTAAAAAAATCATACAAACTACTTAGAATAAAAAGCCTAAGCAGAATTGACCAAGTAGCGTCTCAATTAAGTAGAACGATAAGCTTTATCAGTTCTAGAACCTGGTGAACATCTAGTAAAACAATAGTGTCACTGGATGCAAGGAAGCTTTATTCTCTAACCTGGGGAATTTCTTCTTACAGTTTTTGCAGTTAAGGTTTCTATGGGACATAATTTTGTCCCTTGGTGTGTTTTGTACACTGTATAGAACAGAATATAACAGAACGGGGATCATTGTTCCATGTTTGGGGGGACTTTTATGTGGAACAGACAGGAACAAGATGGAACATGTGTGTTCCACCCCCCAACCCATGGAACAGACCTATATTTTACCAATATAACCTCAATAAAATCTAATTCCCTTCTAAAACATCAAATATGTCTCTCTTTACATTTTATTCATTCTTTAAATTTTATTTATTGTTCTCAAAATATTATTTTTATACGGTTTATATATTTGGATTAATTTATGTAATTTATTAAATACTAATAATAATAAAAATATAGAATAGGTATGAAATAAAAACTGGGAACTAGATAAACTTTTTATTTTGGTGTCATTTTAATCGCCTTGACAAAAACTTTCTAGAAATAAATTTTGTTATAAAAAATATTTAGTTTATTGTAATTAATAAAATACATAAATTAATCAAAATATATAAACAACTCATTAGGGGTAAATTGGTCACTTTATTTGTTTTGTCCTGTCTACTTCTGTCTTACCAAACGCTGAATAGTTGTTCTGTCTTGTCCTATCATGTCTGGATACCAAACGCACCCTAGGGGATATCCATTCTTCATGTATCAAACAGCTTCAACTTTAACACTTCATACCATCCAACTATCCAAGAAATGGAAATGAAATGCCAAGAGAAATATAGTAACACGAGACCTGTATAACGAGATTCACAGTCATGCTCTTAACCATGACAAGATATAAGACAGGTTGAAGAATAAGTTTGTATTTGATAATGTACACTATGAAGACTACGATCACAGTATCATCAACCTTGATATTACAAATTTAACAAATTTGGATGTGAGCAATAACTTGTAGAATCATGTTCTTGAAAGTTTTGTCATGCTCATGCACAAAATAGAATCATGCTTGCTGCATAAAGGCAATAACATGAAGATCAACAAATTCCTAAGGGAATCATGGTTTTTGCCATATTAAAGAGTAATCCAGGTGCACCGTAACTCCTAGTAAAAAGGTTGTCTATAAAAGTATAGTAACTAACCCTGTTCCATAGACCTATTCCCTGTTGCCTGGCTTGTTCTTCAAGGCGTAGCAATTCAGCATGCTCAGGAGTCACCTCTCCTTTAGCCTCTTTAACCTGCAATCACCACATCAGATATTTCATATGCTAAGGTGAAAGCCATATGTTACATATGTGAGAAGATAAAGGAGATTCGAATTACCTTCGCCCAGCCATGAGTAACAACCTCCTTCGCAATATTTGTAGTACCAACGAAAAGACTGCAAAATTCTCGGGAGAAATTTGGGATTGTGTATTCCGTTTTGAAAACAACATCCTGCAAACAGACATAAGTAAGATGAAATATCTTGAATTGAATTCGTCCAAACTTAATTATAGAATGTGATGCAATTTTAGACCAAAGTGTTTCTAAGCCCACTACTTGGAAAGTCTACACTAGACGGCCCAAGGCCCATAAAGAGAATTAGTTAGTTCTTGTTATAAAATAAGGTCGTGTGGGAGAGGGGAAGGCATGCAGAATAACAACCTTTTTGTTAGGATCATAGCTCTTGGCTGTGAGGAGGGAATTACTTCCCTGGGATCCTTCTGTGGATTGTATTTCTTCTCCCTTTCTTTCATTTGTAACCATTTTAGCCTTTCATATTAATCAAAGTAAGACGTAATCACTCCGATTACGTATCAGAATGCAACATGACAAATAGAAGTTGAGGGGTTCCATGAATAAGCACCTTTCCTATACACAACTTTCGTAAGAATTCTCTGCTTTCCCATGCAAACGGGTCATCATTGCCTCCTCTACGGGCCTACATAAAGAAACAATGTTAGTAAATGACTGAATTATATTTGTGTCTTGTGATAATCAAGAAAAGTTCGCATCTCCGTATAACTTGCTATGAGTTCTAAAGCACAATGAAGTCAAAAAGGGAAGTTTGGGCCTCTATGGTATTTGGCATACAACAACGTAAGGACACAATTTCAAATAACTACAACTATTGAAGTACTCTAATTTTAATGGAAGCGTAAGCTCCATCTGCATTTGTAGCACCTTTGGGTGCATCTATAAGGGAAAATAAAAGTGACACTTATATCGGGAAACAAAAGAAATCTTTCCATCTGGGTACAAATTCATTTTACAATAGCATTTAGTTAGCATCATGTCACGGGATTATTGTTTTTGCCTTGCGTACACCCCTGCAGCCTTACTTTGGCGCCTCAAAAGTACAAAGTCAACCCAAAATAATGCTCAAGAAGGGACTTGGATGAAGAAAAAACACAAGAATGCCAAAAGGATTTTGTAGAGTTCATAGATAAAAGCTTCTTTGTATTACTTGTAAACTTTCTAGGATGGTTTACAATAATGAGGCACCACCTACTTATGGGAGGGGGTCTCCAACTCTTTGTAACCATCAGAACACAACCATTCTCTATACAACAATTTTCCTATAAACCTTCTAGGTTTTTCTACAAAAATATTTGAACTCTACAAGTGCAGGAGAGTAATCTAGATGTTCCAAGACAAAAGCCACAAGATACAAGAAGACGTCTGAATACTTCCAAGAACTCTACAAACTAATAGAGATTTCTAATGCCTTCAAGTAGCCTTCTCCGGTTGATGCTTCATTAGCAGTCTAACAGACGCCATCATGCCACTCAATCTCATGAGTAACATATGGCCCATGACAATCATCAGTACTGAGTGGGTAATGGTAGCACCTTGTGTGGCAATAAGCTATTAGCACAAAACAAGATATACCATTATCGCAAGAGTATGCAGTTAGCAAAACTATGTGATGGTGAAGATGGAGATGACTACGTTGAAAACTGACTGACGCTAAAGTAGGGTTTAGGTAAACTTGTATACTGAATCCATTTGTTTTGTATCATGCAAGTAATCATAACTGACAGCACATATAAATAAATGAAATATAGGTTAGAGAATATCTCATGTCACTATAATAAACAAAAGTGCCCAACTAGGCATGTCCAAGTGCCTTCGACTTCCTCATTATAAGAATCTCCCCATGGATATTGCCTAGTTAATTACTAGCGGTACCGGGTACATAAATAGGGGGCGCAAAATTTACCCCCTCAGGTATGGTTTTGCATGTCTATTTAAATAAAAAGAAATACACACTAATGAACAACCTATATAAGGCAATTATGTTGATGTGGACATACCAATCTTGGGGATGAAAGATGAGCCAAAACGATAGTCTTCTCTGGGGGTATTTCAGCTTTGGTAAATCCCATAATCACCAAGGTATCACCAGATGGAGCAGCTTTCACTCTTCCTCTCAACCATCCCGAACTTGCTGCTGCTTGTGCCATCACAACCACTTAAGATCTGCAGATAAAAAAAACTTTAAAATGAAACTGGCAAATAAGCTAAATAGAAGTGCAAGCTATCAACATATACAAATGAAACTGGCAGCCTTGGAATGTGTGAATCATGCAAAAGACAGTATCACAAAAGACACCAAGTTTGCTCACTGCAGCACATACCCGGATCCTAAACACCAGCACAAATAAACAGGGACAAGATTCTGGAAAAAGCCTTGTCAGCATCACCACTCATTACCCAACTAATGCAACTGAACATTCTAAATAAACCTGTATGACTACTGATCCATAGTTCAAAATCAATTTATCTTACCCGAACAGTCTTTTTTTAGGTGTACTAGTTTCTTTTATTTATAATATTGCCAGATGTGCCGTCCTCTTTCCAAAACAAAGTATTATTTAGATTTCTTAACCAATAAATGATTAAGCACCATGTAACGGGTGATTCTGAGTGTATACCTTCCTACTAGTTTTTCCGTCACATCAATCAACATCAATGTAGCCCTTCTCAATTTCCAAAGTATTGAATTGACATGAAGGGGGGTGCATAGAGGCTATAGCCAGTGCCGGAACCTCCCTCAAATTAGTGGGGAAAATCTAATATAGCCAATTAGTAACATGAGTTTTCTTGCTCTCCCTCATCCCATGTCCATATAATTTGAACGATAAAAAGAAGTCTTGCGATTTGGAAAGAACAATGGTTCTGGAAACCATTTCAATCAAGATTATCTAGAATTTAATTAGTTTGTTCTTCAATTTACTATATTTGATTTTGGTTTTTCCAATTTACTTTGAATTGAGGATGTTGTTTGAGGGGGGACAGTCGGATTTTTAGGATTTAAGAGTTCGAATCACATCTTTGGCTCATGTATCTTTTGTTTTTTAAAATGTACATTTATAACATTGAACCAAATTAGACTTTTTAGCTCACTAATGAGTATAACTTTTAAGAGGATCACTCTGAATCCAAATCTTGGCTCCTTCCTTAGCTATAGCAACACCCTTATTGGCCCATTTCAACGGATGACCTTACTACAGTCATAGCATGTTAAACAAAGCAACAATTAGACAACTTTTTTTCCCCAAAACAATTAACCATTCATCATGACAAACATCAATCCAGACAAGACTACCCACATGTTACTCTTTGCACACAACATCTACGCACCAAAACATATCTCTACATACATAAAACCCATCTAACAACATTCCTGGTGTTCAAAAACTTGCCAAAAGGCCTTTGGCCTAGCGGTATCCGCCTTTCGGCTTGCCGGTAGAGCCCAGTCTCCCAAGATGTCAGGGGTTTATGCCTCACCAAAGTTGAGGAGGCTGTGTGAGTTCATTTGCCTTATCTAAATATTATATACTTCAAAAAGAAATCATCCTTTCAAAGATAGAACCTTCCAACGTTCAGCCCATCATTCAAAAGATCATTAGATCGGTATGATCAAAAGCCGATACATTCATTAAATTACACTGGTTTCCAAGAAAACACCAGCTACAACACAGTCTTCAGGTCAGTATACAATAATGCGACTAAAAAAAATCACAGTAAGACCAAAACACGTTCATGCAAACACGCATTAATTCATCAAATATCAGCTTCCCAGATAAGCATTCACGATTGACAAGGAATTCAACAAATAAATACGACCACATCCAATCTATCAAATCATAAGCTACACTTAACACCAGTGTCGAAATGCCTACATGAAAACACACATATTCGAATGAAAAAATTCCAGTATAAGGATCTGAAAAATACGATACCTGAAGGCAGAATGCCCTGAATTGATCAACGAACTTAAACAGACAAAAATCGAAAAATGAGATCAGAAAATTAAAACGTATTACTATCAATGTCGAGACATAATCAATGCCTATTCGAATCGAAACTGATACTGATTCGAATTTGAGAAAACAGGGAACGGCGGATCAAAGGTGAAAACCTCGAGGAATTCTTGTGATACTACAAAACCAAAAGGAACGTATTTATGTAGCTATGAACCAACTGGAAGTATAAAATTACTAAAAATGCCAAAAAGGACTATTTTGTTGGCTTTTTCGTTAAGGGCTGTTTGGTGAATGGTTTGTAAAAAATGATTTAAAAGCTGTCATATCTTATAAAATGAAATATAATTGTTTGGTAATTATGTATAATGAAATTAGGGTTTTTAATGATTAACGAAGATCCATGATACAAAATTATTCAGTGGGTTTTAGAACCATGAAACGGCAGACTTTTTTTTTGCCAAACAAGATTCACCTCTTAACGATTCAAAGATTGTCTCTTAATGAAACTATTAAAATGTAAACAAACAATCTTAAATCATGTATACAATCAACTGAGTGGATTAATCTATCTATATATATTGGAAAGGTTTTTGTTTGTCAAAGCTGATTTTTTTTAATTGGAAGAGGATAGACTTATTAAAGTTCCCCTATAATCTTAATGGATAAGCTGTTTTTATATGATTGGGCCGTAATTAAACATTCGTGTATAGCTGATTGAATAAGTTGTTAGTTTCATAAAGCTTATTAAGTTGCTAGTAAACATGTATGGGGTTACTTGGTTGGTTTTTCAATACTTCTGTATGGGTAAAGACGTTTGTGTGAATTAAGCTGTGTATATAAATTGTGAATGTCTTTATTTTGAAGAGTTTTTTCATAGATGAAATGATGATGATTTTAAATTGGAAGGGACATGCTGGAAAAAAAAAATTGGCTTTCTATATAAAGCTCTCTCTACCTCTAGAAGTAACTAAATAAATGACTTTTTATGTCATTAACCACTACTACACAGTCATTTGTTACTGATCGAGGCTGTTTGGTAGTTGATAAATGGTTTGGTGCAGAATGATTAAGTGATTAAAATTATTAGAAGGTTTTCATGATATAGTGTAAAATAAAATATAATTATTTGATAATTGTTTACAATTAAATTAAGACGTTGAATAGTTAAGGGAAGCCCAATATGCAAAATCATTCGGGAGATTTTAGAATCATTATGAGATAAACTCTTTTTTACTAAACAAGATTCAATTCTCTAAAAATAAAGACTACTTCTTAATGAAACTATTAATAAATAAATAAACAACTACTTCATTAGTAAATGTTCCGAGGGCTTATTAGTCAATTGATGAGCGTTAGGTGACGTGACTTTTGCGGACTCTGTTACGAAATTTTACTTCCACGTGGAACTAACAACCAATCAGAAGAAACCACGTCAGTTGTTATTTCCCTCACGTTTTTGTTCTGTTGCACATTTGGTCTAAAATTGATGAGTAAACTACGATTTTAGTCCCTATAATTTGTTAAAATTTATACTTTTGTCCCTGTGGTTTTGAAATTATAATTTTCATTTCTTTAGTATGCAATTAGTTGCTGTTTTAGTCCTTTAGACTAACTTTGTTAAAATTCATCATCTATTAATTTAGGGGTATTTTAGTCTTTTTAATATTTTTCTATTTTGTTTTATCAAATACCTTTTTATCTTTTGACCAAATCCCGTTAATCTATCTCGTCATCAACTAAAAGAAATTCAATTCAATTAGATTCCGTCACAATTTCACCATCTAAAATAATTAATTATTACATTCCTTTTTTATGAAGTCCAATTCCATTTATATGAAACCATTTATTAATGCAAATATTTTAAGGCAAATTGCATGAAATAGTAATGTACTTTAACTTGATTCTTATTTTGGATAATGTACTTTCAAAACTTCCATTTTGGTACCTAAGATGTAAAGTTTTAAACGTTTAAGTATTCGGGTAATCGGCTAAAATATTAACCGGTTACCATGCTGACTGACGAGTGATGTGGTATCCAACTCAGTATTATTTGTTACTCAACTCAATTTCATCTCATCATTCGGCACATTAGCATGGTAACCGGTTTATGCTTCAACTTTACCCGGGTTACCAGGTAAGAGTTATCATCCTCACCATATAAGACTTCGTAATCCGTGTCTTCCATCGTACTTGATAAGATTCTCACTCCTTGTTATATTCATCTGATAAGATAATTGAACCGATGAGTGTTTAGTAAACAACACCTTAAGTATTTCAAATAAGCCAAAACAAACAAACTCCATATAGTTTACCTAGAGGCTTGAATATTTACAACTATGTCACGGAAATAATCCTTTTCCCTTTTGCCGCATTTCGCTCAAAGGGTTGAAGGGAGATAGTGCATCAAGCTGTTTGCAAGGGCCAACTTGCTGGTTTTAGTGCATCTAGATCGAGTTTCTACATATGTCGCTATTAATAAATTTTGTAACTTTAACTTTTATGATGTTGGTACAAAACCGTATCAACCGAAAAAAGTTGATACTCAGTATAGTTGGTTGGTACACGACATAAAATTTTACATACTAATTATAAGGGTTGGGTTCCGGTAAGAAATTAAGTTATGATGATAAGTGTAATAAAAGATCTCTACCATTGGAACAATCAGAATTGAATGTTAACACTAATGAGGCGCATCTATGTGCACCCTATCAATTCACTTCTAAAACGCAAATTCATGTGTGGACATGAGAATAGAAGCGATAAAGGGTTCAGATCTCTTCTTAACTACTTTTCTCATACGATCCTCTACCCTAATTATAATTGGTTGATACTTGATACACGGTATCTAAAGAAACATGGCACTGTAAATGTTACGTCTCTAAGGCTACGTTTGGTACACGGAACAGGACAGTATGAGAAAAAAACTCACGGTCTCACGTTTGGCGCAACATAGGACAAGACAAGAACTTCTATCCATGTTTGGCACGATATGGGACATGGACATGAACTAGGACAAAGGTGGACAATGTTGGACATTTTTTTTGTTCCACCAAAATAGGTGGAACAAGATGAGACAAAAATCAGACATAAACTAAAATATTACGAATTAACCATATATAACCTCCTTAATGTGGTATTTGTTTTAGTGGTCACCATTGCTACCACCACCACTACCTCCACATGCCATAACTACCTCATTCACCATTGTCGGCCACCACCACCACCACCATCCACTATCTTCATGTCCTCTACAAGCACATCGTCCACCAATCACTAATGCTTCTACCTTTACAGCTATTGTTGTTGCAACAATCTTCAAGTGCCTTCTTTAATTGATAAAAGTCTTCCAAACTGGAAGTCGTGTAAACATATTTATAAATTAAAATTACTTAATTATTTACTTTATATGTATTGATTATAACTACTATATGATATATAAAATTATTAAATAATTTTTTTTAAAACAACTTACCTAGTTTTATCATGTCTAGTCTCAGAGGTTGTTTGTTTACCTTTTAATAGTTTTATTAAGAGGCAACCCCTGAATTATGAAGATGTGAATCTTGTTTGACAAATGAAAAAGTCTGTCTCCTAATAGTTCTAAAACCCTTTGAGTGATTTTGTAGCTTGAACATCCCTTAACCGTTCAGTACTCTAATTTCATTGTAAATAATTACCAAACAATTATATTTCATTTTGCATTATATCACCACTTAATCATTCTGACCGCTTAATCATTTTACATCAAACAATTTACCAAGCTTCTTAATAGCTCCATTAAGAGGCAAACTCTAAATCGTTAAGAGGTGAATCTTGTTTGGTAAAAAATAAGTATATCTTCTAATGATTTTAAAATCCTTTGAATGATTTTGTATCACATGTCTCTCTTAACTATTCAACATCCTAATTTCGTTATAAATAATTATCAAATAAATATATTTCATTTTGCACTATAATATAGAAGATTATTAACCATTTTGACCACTTAATAATCTACACCAAACCAAAACCGTTAAATTTAGGGGCTGTTTGGCAGTTGCTGAATGGTTTGGTGCAGAATGGCTAAGTGGTCAGAATGGTTAAGAGGGTCAGAATGGTTAAGTCCTGAATGAAATATTGTTGTTTGGTAAATGTTAACAAATTACCCTTTTAACCCTGTACGCTTTGGTCCTGTTTTTTATTGAACTAACATATACCAAAAAAGAAATTAGGGTTTCACTTCAACCCAAATCGAGATCAAATCCAAATCGAGATCAAATCCAAAAAGAAATTAGGGTTTCACTTCAACCCAAANCCAAATCGAGATCAAATCCAAATCGAGATCAAATCCAAAAAGAAATTAGGGTTTCACTTCAACCCAAATCGAGATCAAATCCAGTTGATCTCCTCTCCCATCCGGTTTCTGTTTTCATTTCGATCTCCCTCCTTTCCAGTTCTTTCCCTCGATTTCATCCCTGTGATTCGAACATGTGATTCGTCGCTGGTTGCTACCACTTGGTTCGCTCCTCATATCTGGTTTCGGAGAAGACGTCGCCTTTCTGGATAAGGATTTGATGGCGACCGGCGAAGCTGTGGAGGTGACCGGCGATGGCGATGGCGACCGGCGATGGTGACCGGTAGTAGCTGTGGAGGTGACCGGCGAAGCTGGCGATGGTGACCGGTAGTTCTGCTGCGTGAAGAGACGAGATGGGAAGAAGGGTGGGAAGGGTAAAATTGGAAAAAGAACGGTCTGAATGGTTGAGTGAGGTAGTAGATGCAAAATGGTTAAGAGGTTATTGTAACCATTAAGAGGGTTGTTTTTTTTTACCAAACAGACCTAACCTCTTACCAATTAAGAGATTGGCTCTTAATGTAACCATTACCAGCCAAACAAACAGCCCCTTATTTATTTTATTGGATGATAACTTTTTGATTTATTTTCATGCCAATCGATCCCAAAAGCGTTTTTGGAACAAACCCCCAACAATATCCTCCTCACAGCTCTCACTGCTCCATCTTCTTCGCCACTTCTCTCCCAGCATCATGAAAATCTTCTGCTGCTGCTGATCTCTCCACTCCCTTTTAAAATCACCAAACGTATCTGGATTGTGCGAGAAGCGTAAGTGAGGAAACATGGGTTGGATATGGAAGGAGGACGACGATGATAGTGAAATCGACGAAATCGAAGTTTGAAATCATAGAGCCTGGTAAATTCGTAAAAAAAAGAGCTAGAAAACTGAACAACTTCTTTTAGACTGTGTTGGAAGGTTAGTATTCGCTGTAATATCGTTTCAGTTTCGTTTTTTGCTTTTAGTTTATTGATGAACGTGATTCTTGTATTGACTTGGCATATGTTTCCGTTTCGTTCGATTGGATGTGAGAAAGCTCCAATTTTATTGCCTTTTATCTGTATATATGAATTGATTGAGTTCTTGAAGCTGATTTTCGTGCTGTTTATATAGGCAATTTAACCAAAATTGTGAAATTTAATTGATGTAGTTTATTTGATGATTGGTGTAAGGTCGATTGATCAAATATGGATAAAGATAGAGGTGTGGAATGGTAACATTTGCTCTTACTAACCTACAAATCCAAGAGTAGATGACATTGACAATCTACACATTCTTCTTTTTCTGTTTTATAAGACACAAACCCTAGCTTATTCTTAACTTTTAAGCATTCTGTTCCATGTAAATTATGTTAGAGATCGAGGGTTCTTGATTATAAAAAGACCTGGATAAATCAATTGTTTGCTTTCCAGAACACACTAAGTATTGGGATAATCCAATGATTACTCCGATCTTAAAGGCTGTAAAATCGAGTATGTATACACACACGCATATTCCACATTTTTACATATTTATATGAGAGATCGGCAGTTACGGGCAGTTAGATAATTAATATGTAACTAGTGGATAAAGTTGAAACACGGATCAGAGGCTGACTCAGAAGCTCCGAGTCAGAAGCCTTCTCAATCAGAAGCTTCTGATTCCATATTCATATTACTAAGTTTCTGAGTTCTGACAAACTCAAGAAGGATTCCAACCTTCTGAATTGCACTTGGAATGTTTAGAAGTAGGGCCCTTGGAGGATTATGCATACAAAATTGACTGGATGACTGTACTTATATAATTCTTTGACAGGGGTTGTCTAGGTGGTTATTTAACTAGAACTGGGCATCTTGAAGACGTTGAAAGTATAAAATGATTTTAACATATGTTAGCTTGCCATGTAATTATAACCATACATGCTTTACAGTTGGTTCTTCTTTTGATTCTTTTTTCTATTGTTTATTACCATTTTCTGTGTCAAATTGACTTTCTAAATTATGAAGTGTAGGAGGACTTGTAAGATGGCAAAACAAGCTCAAACATTATTTCTTGAAGAATGGCTTAAAACTAATAGCGGGGATATCAACAATTCTAACTCTGCACATTCTACTCCTCAATCAGCTAGAGCTATCATCCAAGCATGGGCTGATCTTAGGGAATCACTCCAACAAAAATCATTTACTCAACAACACTACCAATCTTTACAAACCCTTTTAAATTCTGGCTTCTCTCTTTATGTTGCAGATCCACAAGTTAAACTTGTACTTTCAATTCTATCAGAACCAGAATTATCTCTACCTTCTGAATCTTATCCTCTATTTCTCAGGCTATTGTATATATGGGTTAGAAAATCATCTAAGCCGTCTCCGGTATTTATTAATTCTTCCATCGATGTCCTCTTTCAACTATTTGAATCCCAGTCTTTCACCAACAAGAGCTCTTTGTTCTTCACGGAAGGGCTTCTTCTTCTGGGTGCTTTCTCGTTTGTGCCCTCCGTATCTGAAGAGACAAGAACACGTTGTTTGGAGTTGTTTTGTAAAGTATTGGAGGAAGAATACAAGTTGGTTTCTTTGTTTGATGATCTTGTTCCCAGTGTACTTGCTGGGATGGGCTATGCTCTATCTTCTTGTGGGAGCATTCACTTTGTTCGAATTCTTGATTCACTTTTCGGAATTTGGAATAAAGAGGGCGGGCCTTCTAGTAACGTATTGCATGGTCTAATGGTATTGCATCTTGTTGAATGGGTTCTCTACAATTGTATCCAATCACACTCGTCCGAGAAAATTATCATCTTCTCAAGGGAGATTTTAGAAGCTCCCAAGATAGCGTATGCCTCATTTTCTGTTGTAATGGGTGCAGCTGGTGCCATGAGGGCCTCAAATAGGTCGATATCAAGTGGGCTCATGCAATTAAGAAGTTCTGCTCAGCAACGACTTGAAATCGTTGCAGGTGACTTTATTTCTAAAAAGGGAAGTTTTACTGATACAAACAATGAACGTAAAGATAGTCTTCTGCTACAATGTATATCATTGGCTTTAGCCCGAAGTGGTGCTGTTTTCTCTCGGGATTCTCTTCTTCTATGCCTTGCTTCAGCGTTATTGAGTGAAATCTTCCCTTTAAGGCGCTTTTATGCAAAGATTCTTGGAGTTTATGTCAATTCTAGTAGTCAGGGGATTCATGAAGTTAAAGAACATCTTCATAGTGTCATTTTCAAGGAGGCAGGAGTGATAACTGGTGTTTTTTGCAAACAATATGCCGCGGCCAATGAAGGTAGTAAGAGTAAGGTCGAGAATCGTGTATGGGACTTCTGTCAAGATGTTTACGTCTTACATCGCCAGGTGGCTTTGATGCTTCAAGGCACACAAGAATTGATTGAAGATTTAGAAAAAATTGCCGAATCTGCATTTCTTATGGTGGTCTTCTTTGCTTTGGATGTCACTAAACAGAAGTTAGTTCCTAATATCCCTAGAGAAATTCAACTGGATATTTCGGTGAAGATATTAGTTTCGTTTTCTTGTTTGGAGTATTTTCGGCGGATGCGGTTGTCAGAATATATGGATACAATTAGGGGGGTTGCTGGAAGTGTTCAAGAAGACGAGGCTGCTTGTGTCTCATTCGTTAAATCCATACCTTCATATGGCGACTTGACAAAAGTTCATGGTATTACATTAATACTATGAAGTGCTATTTTGCTATGCGGGGAAGTTCAAATGAGAACCATAAATATTTTGAGAACCTGGAAACCAAATATTCATAATTGTTCATGATGAATAACCTTTAATCATCATGAATATCATGCATTTTCATTATGAGTAATTTTCATCATGAGTATATATCAAGATATTTGTCATGAGTAAAGCTTAAATAGTTGGTTTCGAGGTTCTTCAAATATTTACGATTCTCATTTGAACCTGCCCTTTGCCACGCAATGCTCAAGTACTTATTTTATAGTGGTTTTTTGCATTGTAGTCTCTTCCAACAAAATGGAGTTTACGTGGTCTAAAGACGAGATGCAGACTTCTAGGATCTTATTTTATTTGCGTGTGATTCCAACTTGTGCAGAACGTATACCAACTTCATTGTTCAGAAAGACGGTGTCTCCCATCTTATTTTTGTATCCTGGATATCTAGCTTATATAGAATGAATTTTATAGCTAAACACCCTTTGTTCAAAGAAAAGGTTAAGGGGTCTTTTGCCAAACACTTACCGGGTAAGCGCTTATCGGGTCAATTACTTTACCGGGTTAGCATAGGAAGGACCGAGAATCTTACCGGTAAGAGGGAAGACAAGAATTGAGAGTCTTACCCGGTAAGCGCTTACCGGGATAAATGTTTACCATCAATCCATTTTGATGTCCGAGAATGTTACTAAATAAGGCAAGTTAAGGTAGTTAATCTTGTTGGTAAGCTTTGGTACACGGCCCCTAAAGGTAATTATACCATTCCAAGCCCACCATTAAACAATCTAAGGATTTAGTGCTAAATTATGGTGGATTAGACATAGCAAAGTAATTTATGTTGTTTGAAGTTTTGAGCAAAAAAGGTTGATTACCGCTACCGGCAACCTCGACGGGCCCCAAATGGAACCTGCGCCCTAGGTACTACATGCGAAGAAGAATTTCAAAGCTAACTCAACGACTCAGGCTAGCGGAGGGGTTCAAGCTCACCTTCTGCAGGATTCAAAGTGTTGTATATTCACTTTTTTGTCTGTTGCCTTGCTTGTTTGCACACATTCACACATGTAGTATGCTCCCTTGTTTATTTTTCTTTTGTTTTGCAAACCAAGGGTCTTCACAAAAACAGTATATCTACCCCCCTGGGGTACAGAAAGGTCTGTATATATCATAAGGTCATTTGGTTAAATGACCTTCTAATGGGTTTCTGTAAATCCATGACCTTCTGATGGAAAATTGTCCAAAATATTCACTCATGCCTCCCCTCTTCACTTTATAGCCACGTTTCCAACATTGTGACAGAAATAGCCGGAGATTACCCAAGTAGCGCTTAAGCAACTTGCATAACCCACTTTTTCCAATAAAATAATTAGAAAAATTAGACATTATTTGTGTACGGTGCTATTTGCATAATCTCCAACTATTTTGGTTAATTTGTTGAAAAGGTGGCTATAAAGTGAAGAGGGGAGGCTTGATTGGCTGTTTTGGACTATTTCCCCCTTCTGATAGGTTTAAGAATGTCCCAACTTCAGGAATGCCACTTCCGTACACAAGAATACCTAGAAACCTATCAGAAGGTTATGGATTTAAAAAGCAAGGTCGGGGATTTTAAAAACACATTTCAGGAGCTCATTTAGCTAAACAACCCTTACATTCCTCAAACCCTACCTCTACGAGGAATTTAGGGCCTGTTTGTTAAGAGCTTAATAGGACTCACAACTTATTTAGTCAGCTATAGATGACCGTTTGGTAGTGGCTTAATGATATAGAAGTGCTTATTTGGTAAGCTTCTAAGGAGCTTTATGCAGAAAACCGAGTTTTTTTTCTTTCCAAACCTGCCCCCTCCAACTAAAAAACACGCTCCTTCCATCTATGGAAAAAACCTCCCAAACAAAAACTTTCTCAATCTATACAGACACATTAATCCACATAGACAACTTTATCCATATAGGACTTCATGGAAAACCACCCAAACAGCCCTTTACTGGTTTATTAGGTTTGGTTTGGTTTATTTGAAAAATGATAGCTATTCTTAGACATCTTTTACTTAACACACCCAATACTAGATACATGGGACATCCAAATGGGAAAGTGACTCGAGCCTCACATTCAACATTTGTGGCTTTCATCTCTTCCGGGAAAGATGTCGATGATGAAAGAGTTTCATTGAAGGAGCAACTTGTTTACTATTACATGCAGAGATCTTTAGAGGTATCTAAAACTACTGAAAACCTTTTATATATGTACACACACACACACACACACAAACATATATATATATATAGGGGGAGAGAGAGAGAGAGAGAGAGAGGGGTTTAAGGGAAACCCCCCAAAAAATGAAAAAATGAGGAAGGTTCAAGTGAAACCCCCCAAAAAAAGAAACACTGAGGAACATCCTAATAACCATTCATGTTTACGTTATGCACATTGTGCATACAAGTAATTGAAGATGTTTCTTGGTTTCTATGCACGTGTGCATACTGGAAAAATTACTTGCAAATTACTTGTATGTACATGTGCATACCGTACTATGGTGTTTCTCAGTTTTTCATTTTTTTGTGGTTTTTTCTCAGTTTTTCATTTTTTTTTGTGGTTTTTCCCTGACCTGACCCTATATATTTATATATAAAAAGTCGGGTTCATACGAGAATGGTACCTATTTAAAAAAAATGGCCGTATCATATGTGATTTTACACTAACATGACGTATAAAATCACATGTGATTCACGCGACTTTGCCCCGCGACCTGAGGTTGTGTCCAAAGTCGCACCCACCCCCTTTTTGGTTGTTAATGTAAAATCACATGTGATTTTGTATGTAATTTGGCCATTTTCTTATTTTCTTATTTTCTTATTTTCTTAAATAGGTATCATTCTCGTATGAACCTACCTTTCTATATATAAAGTTGATTATTATCTTCTTTTTCATTATATTTCTGGAAATGGTAGGGATTTCCTGGTGTAACTCCATTTGAAGGTATGGCTTCTGGAGTTGCTGCATTGGTTCGGTATCTTCCTGCTGGAAGCCCTTGTATATTTTACTGCGTTCATTGTCTCGTTGAAAAAGCTAGCAGCCTCTGCAGTGAAGTACCAAGAGAGCTTGATTCGTGGAACGACTTGCACGATGAGTTAGAGCCTTGTAAGAAACTCCTGGATTTACTACTTCGACTTCTCTCCCTAGTCGATATACAGGTAAACATGCAGAAAGTTTCCTCTATTTCGATTTCCTTTTTCGATACAGACTTTTTTTTTTGGGGGCATTTGTTTTGAAAGAATGGTTTTGAGGAATTGGGATTTCGGGGAAGAATTTGGAGTTGGATGGATTTGGAATCTTTGGTGTGTTTGATTTGTAAGATTTGAAATGGAATCGAATTTCATTCATCATAAATATTTTATAAACAATTGAATATACCTTTTATTTAATTGATTATTACAAAATAAGTGTTTTAAACATATTTTATAACATTACTACATGCAAATCCGAAGAATTCCCTCGAAATACCAGCTACCCCAGTAGGATTTCAAAATCCTATGTTTATGGTATTTGAATGAAATCCCGGGATTTCAAATCCAAGAAGTCCTTCAAACCGAACATGGGATTGGAATGGAATTCAATTCCAAATCCCTCCAAATCCCTCCAAATCCAATCCTACAAAACCAAACTGGATCTTAGTCCAGATTCGTTTTTGTTGGAGTACTAGATCGGTTAGACATGAACCATCCAAACTTTTATACATGTTGCGATCTTCCTCCTTTTACAAACCGGGATGATCCTCACTTTTCACAAGTTGAGAGTCTATACAGAAACAACTCTCTACTTCTTGTCTGCATACATCTCATCCCTCAAACCCCACCTTTAGGTGGATATGCTAGACTCGTTTGGTTTATTTTGAGTTATTTATAATCACGTCAACTAAACTTGAATCATTTCTCCTTGGTATATGTTGGAACTTGCCTTCTCTTCTTCAGAGCACTTTTGGAAAGTGATCTAATGGGGTTTCATATATCCTCACATGGTATCAGAGCCAAGGTCTACCACCCTAATGATCGACACTCTAGGGCAATCTATACCTGTCTAGACCCTCTCGACTCGTTTGGTTTATTTTGAGTTATTTATAATCACGTCAACTAAACTTGAATCATTTCTCCTTGGTATATGTTGGAACTTGCCTTCTCTTCTTCAGAGCACTTTTGGAAAGTGATCTAATGGGGTTTCATATATCCTCACATGGTATCAGAGCCAAGGTCTACCACCCTAATGATCGACACTCTAGGGCAATCTATACCTGTCTAGACCCTCTCGACACTAGGACATTTTGTGCCCGTCTAGCCTATGTTGATTTGGGCGGGGGGGGGGGGGGTTAGAGTCCTACATCGGCTAGAGTTGAGAAAGTTCTTCGCACATATGTTTGAACCCAGAGGCGGACCCAAATTTTTTTTTAACTGATGGCATAATTTGACCATAAAAAATATCCACTTTTTTTCACAATATAAGTAGAGATATGTTGGTTGGTTTCTTTTCCTTACATAAAAGAGACTCATGTTCGAGTTCAGTCTACATATATTTTTTGAAAACACAAGAGGTATATAAAAGAACACCAAAATTTAAGCTAAAAAACAAAAAAATTGACAATTGCGTGACTCGGCCTTGGGCCTTTTGTACAAAGGTAGGAGCATTTTACCATCTTAGCCATTAAAGTCATGTGCTAACATTTCAGAGGTGTAGGGAAAACCGCAAAAAACTGAAAGTCTTGTTCCTCAGTTTTTCATTTTTGGGGGGGTTTCCCTGTACCTCCCTCTCAAAAACTATATGGTGGCACCCAACACAACAATACGGTGCCACCCTTCAGAAACGTAATCTTTTTCTCTTAAGACTGAACCGTTCCGTGTGGGTCCGTCCCTATTGGAACCACCGTCTCTTCTTAAGGACTTTTTTAGAGAGTAATCTAATGGGGTTTCACATATTCTCACATTTTTTTAACGCAGTTTAGTGTAAAGTCCTTGAAAGAATTGTATTACATGTAATATGTGCAGGTGCTACCAAATTTGATGAAACTGTTGGCACAGTTGGTTGTCCAACTTCCTGAAGATGGCCAAAACATGGTCCTCAACGACTTGTTTGCGCAAGTTGCGGATTCAGACGACGTTACAAGGAAACCAGCGCTCGTGTCTTGGGTGCAGTCTTTATCGTACCTCTCTTCTCAAGCAACAATCGGTCAAGCATCCAAGCGGCATGAAAAATCTAGTACCATATCTTGGAATAAAGGTAGATTGGTAGGCTTGAATAGGATCTTTGCAAGAATTTAAAACTTCCCATCAAAGACCCAACAGACACTATATCCCATTCAAAAAATAGGGTTTGAAAAGGGATAATATGTGTATGCAGACCTTTCCTCTGTCACAAGAGACAGTGGTAGAAGAGTCGAAGTGTCTTCTTTTTATATCCCAGATGAAAAATATATCCCATCCGGAAGTAGGGTTTGAGAGGGCTAAACGTGTATGCAAACTTTACCTCTGTCTCAAGAGACAATTATAAAAGAGTCAAAGTGTCTTCTTATTATATCTTAGATGGAAAATATATCCCGTCTGGAAGTAAGGTTTAAGAGGGCTACGTTGTATATGCAGACTTTACATCTATCTGAAGAGACAGACGTAGAAGAGTCGAAGTGTCTTTTTTATATCCCATATGAAAAATATATCCCATCTGGAAGTAGGGTTTGATAAGGCGTTAAAGATGTGTACGTAGACTTTACCTCTGTATCAAGGGACCTTGATGATAGATTGATATATAGGGAAATATGTTGTATTTTGTTTTTGAATCTATTGCATATGTAGTGTAAACATCATATTGATCTTTTCTGATATGGAATTAGATTTTGTGTATATGTTAAAAGTGTTTGTTTGGTTTGACAGAATGTTTTTGAGAGATTTAGGAGGTGTTTGGGATTGCTTAGTTCAAACAACTTCTTATTATTTTATTTTTTTATAGAAGTGTTTTATCAACTTATGTGGCAGCAAAACGAAGTTTTATAAAAAGTGTTTGGACTAGCTTATGATGGTACAATACTGGATAAGCTGATGAAATAGATGAGATGTCCTATTTTTCTCATCCAAACACTAAAAACCCCTTATCATCAGTATCATATTGGAATAAGTTAATAAGTTAGAAGAGAGTAACTTATCAAAAATTCCTTATTATCGGTGTCGGACCGGTATAAATATTTCATCTTTTTCTCCATCAAAACAATAGAAACTTCTTATTACCGGTACCACACCTGAATAAGTTAATAAACACTTTAAATAAGCAATCTCAAACACTCCCTTAGATCTCGTAAATGGATTTAGAATTTTTGGTGTGTTTGGTTTGTAGGATTTGGAATTGAATTCAATTTCATTCTTTATAATTAGTTTATAAAAGCAAATTATAAAAAAATATTAAATTGCCTTTTTCTATTAATTGATTGTTATACAAGTGTTCTTTTAACATATTTTAAAACATTATTATAAACAAATTATATGAAATCTTGTAAAATATAACGGATTATATTACGATCCCAAGATTTTAATTTCGAACTTTTCTCTAAACCAAACACGGGATTAATTGGTGGTTATAGTGATCATGACCCACAAGGTTTCTCAATCTAAGTTCAAAATTCTTTAAGACATTTAATTATTATTGATCAAGAAGAACCAAATCAGATATCAATTTTTTCATTTAAAAAAAAACATTCTTATTAATTTTGCTTTCAAAATTCAGCTCCATCTGTTATCAATCAGAAGTGAACTCAGATTTCAAAATTCAGCACATTCTAAAATAAACGTTATAAATCCTCGAGGAGTTTGTTAAGCTATCCGAGAGTCTCCGAATGGGCGTTTGTAGCGATTGAAAACCTAGAAATATTCTTGTTATTGCTTTGACTCATATTTCCCAAAAAGTGGATCCCGCTCTAAATAGCTTCTACTTACAAAAAAGGCCGTTTCATCTTGCAAATAAGGCATATTTTGTCTAGGCATTTTTAAAAAAGGTAATATAAAGTTGGTCTTCCTCTTCAGACAACAATAGTCTTTCTCGATAAAACCAGTTGATTAGGGTCAAGTTATATCCCAATGGTAACTATATTTCTGGGAGTGAACTCCGGACGAATATGAAACACATGGATACAAACTATTGACTTGTCCACAGTACATCAAAGACTCCTCAAACACTTATACGACTCAATCATGTCACTATAAAAGCATCTTCTAAAGATTCTCTAAAATGGAGAAAATGGAAATTTTATATTAAAATTGAGCTCCAACAGATTTCTTAAAAATATGGAGATTATCCCAAAAATAATTACAGTGTGACAAAAATATTGTTTAATATATTTCTAACAACATGAAACTTTGAAAATAATTATTTAGAGAGAGAGAAATAATATTTTAATAGATGAATGAAATATTCCAATGTCGGATTCTCCAAAATGGGGAATATGTAAGCAGATGAATATAATTCTTTTAGAGATTTCAACTTTCGGTTCAAAGAAATTTTAAAGAATCTGTTGAAGATACTCTAATTCCTTAGAGGCGGGTAAATAAAGTAGAGTCCAACCGATCCTGTAGCCGGTCCTAATTGGCCATTGGTCCTTTCACAACCAGTCCTGGGCCTTAACGGGCCTCGGGCCGAATTGAAGATTTTTCATCTGTCATTTCGACAAAAAACATAACTAACATGCATAAGCTCAATGCAACCCGTCCGATCTTAAACTAGACCACTTCGAAAAGAAAATTCATAATGTCTCTCTATAAATTTCTCTATCACTTTTGTTTTCCCCATCTTGACACTAAAATGAACTTCAAAAATCAAAATTCAATAAACTTGGGTGTCGTTTATTAAACACTTACTTGGTAAGTACTTACTGATAAAATTTAACACTATTATTTACTTACCGGATAAAATTTTAGTCCACAAAAATTGTTATCATATGCAACAATTTACCAATTTACCCAGTAAGCGCTTACCGTGGTAAGAGTCTTGGTCCTTACCATATTCATCCGGTAAGGTAACGTGGTTTGGTGTTCACTTACTCGAGTAACCTTTTGGTAAACTAAGCCCTTAAATCTTTGATATCATTTTTCCTATTTTTACAAATTTTAAAACATTTTTCACTTGCATTGATCTTGAAAACTCAAATTAGCAAAAATCAGTCCCCAACTGGTTGACGTTTAAAAATTTTGAATTCTCAGCAGCTCTAACCTTTACAACTAAACCTAAAAGTCCGGTCCTTTGACAAAGCCCTAATTGGTCCTAATTTGGACAGCCCTTCATAAATAGCCCTAAAAAGCCCGATGCCAAGTCAATTGGTACTAACTAGTCCCGGGTCCATGCCCTATATTGGACCGGGCCAATATGACCATCTCTAAAAAATCAAAATTCTTGATCAATTAAGGTACATATCACCATTTTTGTTCCAACACTCCGAATTCAAGTTGATCCTATTTTACCTCTTCCTCAGAGAAAGACGAAAGAATTGCTCAGATATCAGTGAGTGAAGCCTATCTGGGTCCCGTAGACTTTCTCGTTAAATCAGATCAAACTTATTACCATCAAAGTCGCTTTTAATGTCAAATACTGATAAAAATATAAAGAAAAAACCCAAAAATAGTAAACCAACACAATGCATTATAAGAGAGAGTACACTTCATAAATCAAAAACACCACTTTCTTCATTGAACTCTTGAAATGTTGATCCTTCCATAGCAATATAAAGAGATCATACAACATGAGAAGAAACCCTTCAAAGTGTTTTATCAAGACTCTTTATATCTTTCTACAAGTATAACAGATTCGGCAAAATGATAAGACCCTAAATAAAATCGACACGAAGTAGAGAAACAATACGTACTTCAACCCCAAAAGCAGTACCCGAAAGGGGAATATGTATTTCGACACAACAATTCAATCAATCCCAACGACCCCAACCAGCCCCATACAGAACCCATCCCTTGGGCACCACATATGAGGAGGCATTTCGTGAGTTGACTCAGCGGCTAAGGCAACCAATCCCGCATGTCCTGGGATTTGAACTTGAATCTGTTATGTATTTTCCCCTTTGCCAACTAAGCTACAAGCCTGAGGGTTCAAGGGGGATGCATATTATCTTCTTCAAAATATCTTCTGCATCTACCACAGAAAATAGCGCATTACCAAAGGATCATTAGCCCAGGACCCGGGTTACCAGTAAAGCGAAGCTGAGCCGAGCCGCACAGGAGGTCACTCGGGGGTATAGACGAGCCAAGTCGAGTAGCAGGTTATTCAAATAATATCCGGCTCGAGCTCGATTAACTTTTTCAAATTCGGGGTTGAGCTCAAATATTTATTCAATGTTTGAGCTCAATGCTCGTTTATGAGCTCGAATTTGAGATCGATAACTCGTTTATTTACTCAAGCTCAAAGATTTTTATATTTTGGTTATATAATTTGTAAAGATATAAATATGTTTGGCTCGAATAAGTGTATGCTCGAATCACTCGGCTTAGCTCTTAAAGTTAAATCGAGCTTTAGGGCGAATTGAGTCGAACATTGGTGTTATGGAGCTCGACTCATTAAGTTATGCAATCTTTATTTTGTGTTCGAGATTGACTCAAGCTCAAGCTCGAGTAGCTCGTTAAAAGCTCAACTCGTTTACACCCGTAGGTCAAGGTTCAAACCTCGCCAAAGGTGAGGAATGTACGTGAGTATTTGTAGTAAATAAATATGCTATACTTCAGAAAGTAAACATAGCACATACATTCAGCATTCACGCATTGATCTCCTTTATGTAACTTGAATGTTTCTCCACGAGCAGCTTGACCAGGGGAGATTCGACATCTGCGTGGTCGTTTTCACGATATACCGAGACTTTTCCACCATCGGTGACAAGTATCACGACCTCTTTACGAGTTGAAAGCTCGTTTGCCACTACAGCATTCATTTTGTACCTTTTAAGAGCTTTATCGGCCTTTTCTAAGAGGATTTCTTTATCCGTCTCTAACTGTAGGCAACCAAAACTAATATCATTAATCTAGTTGTAGTAATAATAAGGGGCAAAAAGGTAATTTTAAGATCCTAACACCACTACCATTCTCTTGGCATTGTGTGTAATAATAAGTGTACACATTTCAATTTTAGTTTGTCAGAAAAAAAGAGTCAACTTTCAAAAGCAAGGGGTTGTTTGGTCGGTTTTCCATTAAGGGCCTGTTTGTTAGCAGCTTAATGAATTGAGGCTCACTACTTATTCAGTCAGTTATTCAGTAGGCTTTTAGGGGGGAGTTTTATGCAGAAAACCAAGTTTTTACTAAACCTGCCCTCCCAATTAAAAACTACGCTCCTTACATCTTATGAAAAAACTCTCCCAAACAAAAACCCTCTCTGTTGGGTCACCGATAATTTGTTGATGATCTTTCAATCTATCTTTCTTCAATCTTTGTACATTTAGTGGTTCTTTGTAGAAGTTTGATTGTGCTTAACAAGTTCGATGAATCGAAGACTAGCCGATTTTCAAGGACGTGTCAACTAATGTGGAACAGAAGACACAGTTCCCGACTTTATACTAAACTTTTCTCCCTACCTCCTCTGCCGATTTACTCAGCTAATGATCTTCCCACCTAACAAACTTTCTACTCAATATTTGGCAGGTCAACTTGAAGATTCTCCTGCAATGATTTTTTTGACAAAAATCTTACCAACCTTGCACTTGAAAATGACAAAAATCTTACCAACCTTGCACTTGAAAATGACATTCTCTGGAATAACTAAAAGGTATGTTTGTCCTCTTCTGAGCTTGATGCGACAACTGAAGAACTCATGAGAAAAGAGTTTTAGAGACAAGTCTTTCTCATATGTACCATGACAAGGACCTCTTCGTTGTGTCCTAAGTCAACTTTGTCTTCTAATCCTCTCTTGACAAGTGTCCCCATGCATTTAATGCATAGAGGAGTATAAAAGAAAGAGTGGTTTGTCCATGCAAGGTTATGCTTTCAAAAAGATCTCTATGTGCAGCATAACTTCTTTGTGTTTATAGTTGTGTTCTACTTATCTAAGTGTAAGATTGTTAGAACTGACTTTTAATCTTTTCTATTCCGCAAACAATCATGTTTTCTTAGTGTAATTTTTGATATATATATATATATATATATATCAATAAGAATTAAAAAGTTGAAAATATTGTGTGCAATTGCATTCAACCCCCCATCTACAATTACTTGTGTTCTGCATTCTCAAAAGGGACTAACACTCCCTATCTGTACGGACAGATTCATCCACACAAACAGCTCTATCCATGCATGACTTAATAGAAAACCAATCAAACAAATGTATCGATAATGTTGTCTGTTTGGATTAATATGCCTGTATAGATTTAGAAGGTTTTTATTTGGATGGGTTTTTTCATAAATGAAAGGGGAGTGTTTTTTAATTGTGAGGAATATGTTTGGAAAAAAACCCTTGACTTTCTGCATAAAGCTTCCTCCTAGAAGCTTACTGAATAAGCCACTTTCTATATCATTAAGCTAGTACCAAACAATCATGTATAACTGACAGAATATGCTGTAAGTCCCATTAAGCTCATCAAGTTGTTAACAAACAGGTCCTAAGTGTCTAATTTCCAATTCTACCCTTAATTATGAGACGAGAAAAATTCATCACTCCATTTATCACCATGGGTAAGATTGTCATTTAGTTAATTTACAAAGTGTAATAATTACACACTTCTAAAATTGTTTGCCTTTTTCATTGTGGACACTTATTTTTGGGACAAAGGGAGTATTTTTTTTCCCACTTCATGCAACTATTATTTGTTCATGTGTGTGATATTATGAATCCTCACACCTCGACCATATGGCATTCGCACCACCTAACATAGATACTCGACATTTACTAATGCAAAAAACCAAGAGCATCTCCAACAACTATGCTGTAATAGAAATTTTGGTGATTCAAAAGTGTTCTATACTTCAACAGCTATGCTATATTGTGTGGTAAGAGCATCTCCAACAGCTATGCTAATATAGAGAAAAAAGGGATTTTAGCAATTTTTTTGCTCCAACAGCTTTGCTATCTTGTATGCTAAAATAGAGAAAAGAAGAGAAAGATTGTAAAAATCTCTAAATTTAGAGAAATCTCAAAAAAAGAGAGAAGTTATTAATTTAATACTTCCCACCAATAAGAGGGATTGAAAACAAATGTTTAGGGGAGAGAAACAAAATCTTATTAAATGTATTGAATATTTTAATAATATTATTAATGTTAGAATTGCTAAAATAAAGTAGTTGTTGGAGTTGAATGTAATTTTTTTAGAGACTTTGACTTTTAATACTCCATTTTAAAAAAAAATATAGCATAGTTGTTGGAGATGCTCTAAAATAGCAAAAAGAAGAAATCTCTAAATTAAAAGAAATCTCTAAAACTCTATATAAGAGCAAGAAATAATATTTTAATTATCTTCCACCAACAAGAAATATTGAAGATAAATGTTTAAAAGAGAGAAATAATATTTTATTGAATGTACCGGATATTTTAATAATATATAGTTAATTATAGAATTGCTAAAATAGAGTAGTTGTTGGAGTTAGGTGTTTTTTTTAGAGATTTTGACTTTTGATACTCTATTTTAGAAGAATAATAGCACAGTTGTTGGAGATGCTATAAAGGGACAAACACAAACAAGATCATTATGCAAGTTACCAACCTTAAATGATATACAGAATGACGTCGGGGCCCACTCTTTCCGTAAAACCAAAAGCATCTTCGGGACTTGGGCAAGCCGCATATCTAATGGCCCAGATGAAGACTGGATTTTATGCATCGCCTACAAAATGAAGCCGGAATTAAGCTCGTTTTTTTCCTCATTAGTGTATTTGAACAGCTACAAAGCATTACAATAGATAGGAGCGGAAACAGAAAACATGCAGCTTCTTTTTACCTTCGTCTTTTAGTACGGAAACTCCACAATGAGTTTTAGAATACTCCCTCCATCCCAAAGTAAATGTCCACAACGAAAAGGCACAGAATTTTAGGAATGTGTAATTATTACCCTTTTTAATTAACTAAATGACAATTTTGATACCATTTGAGAATATGTGGAACCCCGTTAGATTACTCTCCAAGAAGAGTTGGAGAGTTCTTTTGGAGAGTAATGTGGGGATTCCGCATATTCTTACATGGTATCAGAGCCAAGGTCTACCATTGTAGAGACTCGACACTTTAGGGCAATCTGTACTCTCTGAGCCCCGTCACCCGTCTATCCCCCTCTCGACATTCTAGAACAATACGTGCCCATCTAGCCTCCATTGAAGGGGGCGTGTTAGAGTCCCACATCGACTAGACTTGGATCAATTCTCTTATATGTATGTGGGAACCTCCCTTAACTCCTTAAGAACTTTTTTGGAGAGTAATATGGGGTTCCACATATTCTTACATGATATCAGAGCCAAGATCTACCACTGTAGAGATTCAACACTTTGGGGAAATCTGTACCCACCGAACCCCATCATCTGTCCATCCCCCTCTCGATACTCTGGAAGAATACGTGCCCGTAGCCTCCTCTAGGAGGGGGGGGGGGGGGGGTTGCTAGAGTCCCTGATTGCCTAGACTTGGACCAATTATGTTCTATATATGTTGGAACCTCCCTTATCTCCTGAAAGGCTCTTTTGGAGAGTAATCAGGGGGGTTCCACATATTCTTACAAGTTACAACCTTTAGAGGGAGTAATGAATTTCTCCATCTCATAATTAAAGGTAGGATCGGAAATAATTATGCATTTGCTTTTGAACGTGGACACTAATTTTGGTACAGAGGGAGTACTATGGAACTTTCTATATATAGAAGGGAAAACATAATATATGTAGGAGTAGACTAAATTTACCATGCTCTCCCATGGAACATAGAAATCAGATACAGCAGCCGCAAGATAAAACATAGCACTTGGCCCAAGGATCTTCATTGACATTGCAGTCAACTTTAATATCTGTTCAATGAAACAAATTACTTGTTATTGAAAAAATATTTTCCAGTATCATGGTGAGGGTTGGGTTCCGGTGAGAATGGAAGTTACGGTGAGAAGGATAAGAATGGATCTCCATCCTTCGATCAATAGATCAACACTAATGCGGTGCACCGAGATGCACCGTATCAATTCCTGTGATAAGTGCAATTCATAGGGTGGGGGTGAGATTAAAATTGATCAAGGGTCCAAATCCCTTCTTAAATCCCTTCTTATGCTTCTCAACTTAATTCCTATTCTCACATTATCCTTCGTCATCATGGTGATACATTAGAAATGTCTTTTTAAAACCCTCGCAACTTTCAATTATGTCTTTTGACAAATTTTGTCCCTACAAAACTTTTTCGCAAGCCGGGGGTCTTCACTGAAACCGCCTATGATGGACTTTTTACCAAAGGGTCATTTGCCCCCATGTTACTGGTATAGCCCAAACTCCAAGGAGGTCAAGAGTTCAAATCACCAAAGGTGAGGACAGTGTGAGTATTTGCCTATATAAATGATTATATACTTCAAAAAAAACTAATTGTTTTTGTGAAAGTGAAAAAACGAAGCGCTGCGCTTTGCAAGAATGAACGATTTTGGATAAAAATTGCCAAATACGATGTTTTTTCACATTTACATTTTTATAATTTGTTCAAAGGACAAGGGATCATGTGAGAATGAGAGTGATGTTGAGAACACTTCTACCCTTTGGATGTGTTGACTTTTTAATCTAACTTAATGTTTTTCAACTACTTTCAGTATCTTCAATTACATTCATCTACCTTCATCTTCCTTATTCTTCACTTCTAAGTCATTTTCACGAACTTTTACACACATTAATTTGTTAAAATTTCGGTCATAATGATAAAAATGGGCAAATAAAGGTAGTTGAATGTAGATGAAGGTATATGAAGGTTTTGTTCTCACCTTCTCACTATAATTTTTATTCTCACCGGAACCCAACCCTTGTTCAAAGTCACCAATTCTTGCAAACTACTAGTGCTTTTTGTCATTTTCGTAAGAGACGAAGGATCGTGTGAGAATAGGAGTTAAGGTGAGAAATGTAAGAAGGGATTTGAACCTTTGATCACTTTTAATCTCACCCCCACCTCATGCATTGCGCTTGATACGGGAATTGATTTGGTGCATCTCATTACTGTTGATCTTCAATTAGGATTGATCTACGGGTGGAGATCCCTTCTTACCCTTCTCACCATAACTTCCATTCTCACTGGAACCCAACACTTCCGTAAGAATGATTTTAGTTGCAATGAGAAGCCAGGTATGATGATTAGAGAATAAATGATTTATAAGTTAAACATTCTACTTATAGATATTCGAAACACAACAAATCATATTGTTATGCACCCATCTAGAGGCCCAAGCCCATTCCTAAGAATATTCTAGAATAGTTAAGAAGGGGTAATTTGGGTACTTCTTATAGGATAATTTTTAGGATAAATAAGGAGGCTGCAGGGAGTGTGAGGCATGCAGAAAATTAGTGAGTTCTATATGGGAGAGTCCTAGCCTCTCGAATGCTAGTTTGTTCTTTGTTTTCCTTGTTAATTAAAGCATCTTACAATATCCTTATGACCTTATCACTTGGTTTCTTTATCGATTGTTCAATCATTTTGGTTGATAACACATATGCATATCTATATAATAGGTTAACTTTTCACAATTAATTTGTTCAACTAGGTGCAAGTAATGACATTGAAGGATTTAAATGGTTAGCTTTAAATGATTAATCATGTTAACCTGAAGATATTCAAAGATGGTTGTGAAGGGAAGTTTCAGCAAGAAGCCTCCTGAAACAGCCTGAGATAAAATGAGATCTTTACTGGCGTGCAAATATAGAGCTAACAGTTTCACTAAAGAAGAGATACGATTCCTACTGCATGATGTCCGCGAATCGCCCTCTTAACTGCTTCGGAATGTGACTCGTGCACTGTAAAATAAAGTAGATTTTATTATATAATAGGTAAATAAAATAAAATAAAATTTTATTCATTTCTTTATGAGCCTAGGTGGTTTATACCAACCAGACGAACCCAGTACATCCCACTTGGAGGTGGCGTCTGGGGAGGGTAAGATGTATGACCAGAGGCAGATTTAAGAAGGCACCCGCTCTATCGTGCCGACACAATGCAAAAAAAAATAAGGGTCTTAAAGGTGCATCCATGGTTTTAAAAATCATTTGAGGCATATGCCGGCGACCCAAAACCGCATCTGAGGTGGCACCTCTTGGACCCTGGACGAGGCTTACGCCTTGGCAGTGAGGCGTTAGGCTTCGTCGAGGCCTACGCCTTTAGATCATCTGCTTTGGCAATGGCTTTCCGGCTTTTTTATAAGCTTTATGGCAGTAGTAGTACTTCTCTTTATAGTATAAGTGTCTTTTTATTTTAAAAAAATAAAAGTTAAAGCCCAATGACCCCAATGTGTACTTTAATATTTTAAAACCTAAAAAGCCAGCACTTTCTCCTCTCAATCAAGAAGTGTAAATTTTACCCTTCCTCTTCCTCTAAGCAATCAATTTATCCACACCCTCTTAGCCTATCTCACAGTATCACTCTTACCTCCGTGAAGAACCACTGCACCAACGCCCTTAGTAATTTAGTATTATATACATAGTATATGAATGTGTGTGCGTATATATATATATTTGTGTAGTATATATACATATCTTGGTGTATATATATTTCCGCCTCGAGGCTTAAGCCTCGCCTCGTTGAGGGAAAACGCCTCGAGGCCCGATTCCGGCTTTTAAAACCTTGGGTGCAACCGCTTTAATTTGATATATGCTACCCACAAATTAGCAAAAATAGGCTGCAGCCTACTAGTAGGGTCATTGCATATGAAATTAGGGGTTCCAAGTTTGAATCCTTTTGACTATTTTATTTTTGGTAAGAACAACATAGTGAAAAAAAGAACACTTGGGTGTTGCAAAAAACCACTTGTAAGTCAATTTTACATTATGCTAATTATTTAGTGGCCTTGCTTGAAAATTTTTCTGGATCCGCCTCTGGACCTGACCTCTACTCCTAGCCCCTAGAAAGTTCATACAGTCTATTGGAAATCCAACAAAAAACATAAACACGATTTTATATGGTAACATAAGGTTACGACCTTGTATGCATGAATCATCCGTAAGCTCAAAACATTCAAGTAGCAGATCTTCCGGAAGTGATCTACAATATGGCTGGCAGGTACCCCTGCATAAGGCTTTCCTATGTCATCTTAAATGTTATAAAATAATAATAAATATTTAGCATTAATCATCAATAATCTAACTGGCTCATTCCCCCACAATCCCAAGTCTTTCATCCCAGGTTTAACTGGGGGAATGAAAATTCATTCCCAATTTCATTTCTTGTCATTTTCATTTGCATTCCCCAACCTGAACCAAACAGCTCCCAACTGTTATCATTATTTGTCAACTTGGCAAATTTAATATTATGTTTGTCTTATTGGAAAGTAACCCTGTGTTTTAAACATTAAATTTTCCTAGGCAAACAGAAAGCAAATTATGTCTACAAAGGCACCATATTCACCTCCTATAGAGAAAGATTACCGAATATCCAGCTTTCAGAAAGTATCTGCATATCATCAGTAATTCCATATTATCTATGAAGTCTGGAATTAGAAAAAGCCGCCAAAAGGTGAAAACTTAAAATAAGTTGTATGGTGGTATACTCAGTAGACGTTGCTCCTCTGTGCCCAGAGCTGAAGTTATCGATATACCGCACACAGCGTTGCTCTAGAGGAACAGTGGTACCACCAGATGTGACACATACAACCTTTCTTGATCCCTTGCTTCCTAAAAACACACGGCAATATAACTTCACAAAATGGTGGAAGAAGATAAAGTTAAACAAGATATACATACAGTTGAAGTGAACATGCCTGATAAAGAAGCGTTGTGATCGATAAATTGGGTTAACTTTCTGCTTATGTTGTCAGCATCCTTCAGAAGAGGTGCTGAGTCGAAGAAGGATTTAACTTCAACGGATATTGTTTCATCCACAGCATCTAAGTTGGTAAATGCATCCATGGAAATGGCTAGCGAAACAGTGGCATGGAGGAAAAAAGGTTAGGTACCATAACAAATGGGTCTAAAATAGGCAAGCAGGTCATAATTTTCCAAGAACAAGCTCCAACACCCACTGTCGATTCATTGGTGAGTACTGGAAGCATTCATTATATATACCGTGACACTATCGACTTTCCCAGGATCCTTAGCGCAAAATGTAGAATCAAAACTCTTCAAAGACGGGTACCCAATAATGTTGATCACCACATACATTATTACAGATTTTGTTGGGAAGTCTTCCACAGAAATTTATATGTAGACCTGATGTGTAGCACGGCTGCTCTTGTATCCTCTCTATGAGAATATGTGGAACCTCATTAGATTACTCTCCAAAATGGGCCTTGAGGAGAGAAAGGAGGTTCCAACATATATGGAAGAGAAATGGTCCAAGTCTACCCGATGTGAGACTCCAACACTCTCTTTACAGCCTGCCTCCATGGACCTAAATGGTTTAGAAGTAAGAAGTTTGTGGTGCTCTGACCTTTATGTTGCAGTTCACCATCTAACAAGTATCATCATGACTAATTCTCCTAAATTAGTACCACATTCAGAATGACGGCTTTGTTTCTTAGGGTTAACTTCTGATTCTGTTCTTGGTTGGTTCTGGATCATCTGAAGCTACACTCAAGGAGAAAAAGGGCAGATTACCCTTGAAAAATATTATTTCTAGGCCTGCTAGTCTCCTGAAATGTAATGCATCCTTCATTATATTCACTCCTTCGAATTAGTATCATAATTTTAAACCCTGCATTTACCTGGTATAATTAACGTAACAGAGACAGCGATTTCAACATCGTTAGTAATCATCCGGTAGGATCATGAGGGAGAAGAAACTCTCCATCAAAACAGCTCAGCACCTCCAAACCCAAATATTCCATGGAAAATGTCGACTTAGGGGCTGTTCACTAGTTGCTGACCCAGTAACAAGGTGAGGTTGTTTACATATACCCTCAACCGACAAATAATGCTGACCAAGATGCGGACTCGATAAGGAAGGAAAAGCTTTCTTACTTGCTCAGCGCTTACCCAAACTGAGCCTCTTACCCATACCGCACTCTTACCTGGTTAGCACTTGCCCAATTTATGTTAGTAAACGGCCCCTTAGACCACAAACTTACAGTCATCAGACCAGGGAGATCTTTTATTACGGCATAGAAAAAAGATAAATACTTATATCGCCTTACCTTATAAATTTATTAGTTTCACCCCATTTAATGGACAAAGACGCCCTCGTGACAAGAGCAATTAACATGTGCTAAATATAAGAATTTAGCAATGCACATAGATACCTAATGCGCACATCATTGCTTTGGGGGTACCCAACAATTGTGGCCATTGAGTTCATCAGGGTTGATTTCTTGCAGCCACAATTTACCGAGATTAATCCAGGCATAGCCTGGCTTCCAAAAAAAACAACTAATCAAGTAGACATACATAAGTGGAAGTACTTATTCTTGTAAAGGATAATTATTTGCATTAATTGGTTTTGTCATGAAATTAGATGTTCTTATCTTGTTGATCGCAAACTCTACAAAATCTATGAACGACAGGTCACCTTCTAGCCATTTACTTACTTCCATTTTTGCTTCACCTAACCATTTATAGTTGCACCTATATGAATTTTTCCCCCGCTTGAGATCAGTTCGGCTCCACAAGTACATCACAGTAACATAATAATAGAAACAGCAGTAGAGGGAGACACAATGGTGTGTGAAGTGTATACGGGTAGTTTTTTTTCAGGTGCTCAATTTATGTTAATTATTTCATTCAGCCATTCTATTATCCTCGGCATGACCTAATATGCAAAGAAACTGGAATCAATCAGTTATATGCTAAAAGAAAAAGAAAAATTAAAATCGATCAATTAGGCATACCTTTGAATTCAAACAGCTTCGTAAATCGACAAAAAAGAAAAAAAAAACTATGAACTATCACATATCACAATTTCAGCTAGATCAATTAGGTCGACGACTAGAGCAAATTCAAAAATCCTCTCAACAAAGCATAACATACACAATAAGTCAATAAACGCCCTTAGATTTTCACAAACAGCACTTACGGATATTCATGTTCTTTAAAACTTAGCGATTGCAGCATACAACATCTCATCTAAACCGACGATTAGGTGAAACTAAACTTACAATAAATTGGAAACAGGTTCAAGTGAGGAGAGACTGAAATCAGCAAATCATATTACCTTTATCGAAGTGATTGGGAAGAACAGAGCGACGGAGAAACAGTTGTTGGGAGCGGCGGCAGCAGATGAGGGAGCGGTGGCAACGGTGACGTGGCAGGCGGTGCGTAGAAGATAAAAGAGTAAATTACGATTTTAGTCCTTGTGGTTTGTTAGTAATTTCGATTTTTAGTCCCTATGATTTAGAAATTGGATTTTTTTACCTTATGATTTGTAATTTATTACTATTTTAATTCCTAAACTAATTTTTAATCAAAATAATAATAAAATAATAAATCGTATAGATTAAAATAATAATAAATTATAAATACTATATAGTAAGAAAATTACAATTATAAGAAAAAAAACTATAATTTCTAAACCACAAAGACAAAATTCATAATTATTAACAAATCAGAGTAACTAATAACATAATTTATTCAAAATAAAATTATAGCTATTTAATTTTTATAAGGTTGTTGGGTGGTTGTTCCCTTGTTGGAAGAGCCAAATTCGAGGGTTGTTTGTTTATCTCTTAATAGTTTAATTAAGAGACAATATCTGAATCATTAAGAGGTAAATATTGTTTGGCAAAAAAAAATATTTCTCTTAATATTTATAAAACCCTCTAAATTGATTTTGTATCATAAGTCTCCTATAACCATTAAGCGCATTGATTTCATTGTAAACAATTACCAAACAATTATATTTTATTTTGCACTATATTATGAAAGCATCTTAATCATTCTGACTACTTAATCATTTTGCACCAAATCATTCAGCAACCGCCAAACAACCCCTTATTAATTTTTGTTTGTGTTTTTCGTAATTGAGTAAACTACAATTCTGGTATCCATGGCTTACACAAATTTCTAAAAGTGGTCTCCATACTTTAACAACTACAATTATCGTTCCTACTATTTACATTTTACTTTGAAAATCGTCCTTGGTTACTAACTCCATTAAAAGTGTATTTAAGGGGCATGTGGGTCTTTTTACCATTTTCCTTATTTTTTATTATTACACTATTAAATTATATATTGTTTTATATTATATACATTTATTATATACAAAATATGTATACTCTCACCGGAAGAACTTCAAACCTGACTTGCTGCAGCCACCATCTCCGGCGACCGGACCTGCTTCATTACCATCTCCGGCGACCCGACCTGCTTCATTACCATCTCTGCCGAGAAACAAAAGTGTTTTGCGATCATCTTTTGAGACCTAAATAAAGACCCCAACTAAAATTAAACCTGAAACACATATCTGAAACCATTTTCAACCTAAATCAAATCCAAGCGTAAACCCAAACCTAAAACCAATCAACACCCAACCTAAATCACACCTAAAACCCAAATATGAAACCAAACAAAACTCAACCTAAACCACCATTGGTGACACTATGTAAACCTCAAAAATCTACCAACTTTTGGAACAAACCTTCTACAACCTTTAGAAAATCCAGCAAAGCTAGAAACCAGGGGTAGTGCTTTGAATTGATCGACTGTCTTTGAATCATACGAGTTGTGCTTTGAATCGGTGGCTTCAAACTTATCCACATAGAGGAATATGTCACCAATGATTTTGTGTTTCTCCCCAGGAAATCAACAATCCTTCGACTGTGTGTTTGACTGTTTATCTGTCTTCATAAAGAAATATACATCCCTCCATAAGTGGTTCACGGGAGAGGGATGGTGGAGGTGGGAAAGGAAAGGGAGATGTGAGTATATGTATACGTATTCATATTAACGTATATAACTTAATTTAATTTTATTTTTTTTAACAGAAAAATAGTAAGAAATGACGAAAGGACCAACACGCCCCTTACTTAACAAACAATTTTAACGGAGTTAGAGATCAAGGACGACTTTCAAAGCGAAATGTAAACAATATGGATGATAATTGTAGTTATTGAAGTTTAAGGACCAATTTTGAAGATTGGTGTAAACCATAGAGACCAATATTGTAGTTTACTCTTTTTAATTTTTTGAGTGAATTTAATTTGTTAGGACCAATTTGAAGTTTAAGGACCAATTTTGAAGATTGGTGTAATCCATGTGTTTCCGTATAAACTTGGTTTCGGTGGTGTGGTATTTAATTTGTTATTGTTCTGGTATTTTTAATTAAGAGTCTGCTTGTTAGTAGTTTTATGAGGGTTTACGGCTTATTCAGTCAGTTATATATGACTGTTTGGTAAATAATATAAAAAATGACTTATTCTATAAGCTTTTAGGGGAAAACTTTATGCAATGAGACATTTTTTTCTTCCAAATATATCTCTCTCAAAAATCATGCTCTTTTCATATATGGAAAAACTCTCACAAACAAAAACGTTTTCTAACTATATAGACATATTTATCTATACAAAACTTAATAGAAAACCAACCAAATAACCCCTAACATTGTTAATTTAATTCCTTGTCAATGTTAATTTAATTCTTTTAGTTTAGTTAACTTAGTGGGCATTTTGGTATTTTTATCCCTCACTGGCCTCTGTTTCCGACCTCTCTTATATGTGAAAGTATACACACAAAAGCATCACTGCATCAAGTGGAACAAGCAAACAAACGGGTCTCATAAAAAATACACAGACATCGTCAAGTGAAGTAGAGTGCACATGGTTAGAACCAAATAAGTGGTTCGAAGAGAGTGAAGTGATCAGAGGCTCAAAATAGGGTAGTGTCTAAGTAGTTCAGGTTTTGTCCAGTGGGACAGTCAAATACATGGATTAATCTGAAACTTGTTCAGGTATCCTCGTGTATTTTAACCGACAAATGTTCATCAGTTGATGTTTAGTTGATTCAAACGACATATACAATTCCAACGTTGAGGGGGTTTCGCAAGAGAACGGAATGGGGTCACAATAGAGGGGCGAAGATAGTGGTTGGTGTGAAGACGAAGACGTCTTTGAAGTGAAAGGGAGGGGAAGGGTTCGGGGGTCGACGAGAAGCAAATGGAGGTAAGGGGTCACGTGGGGACAAACAATGTTGGGGGAGGGAGGCAAGGTTAAGTCGTCGATACAGTATCATACCAAATATCTGGTATTAAAAAAATTCAAACTATCAAATTACCGTTGTAAGTGTAAATTTACCATATATAAATATCATATACTAAAAAATATATATATAAATTAATTAATTTTGATATTTTTACATTTACCATAAATATCTTTTCACACATAAGTAAATGCTTATCGGTTAAGGACAGTATTCTTATTGATCTTAGCGTGTAATATTTTCGGTTATTAAAATGAATTGTTGGTATGGAACTTAAACCCAATAAGTGCTTACCAGGTAAGACCCTCGGTCTTAAAGTCTTGGTAGGGTCCCTCCTTTCTCTCTTGTTCCACGACCTACGAATTTAGGAAGAAACGGGGAAACCTAGAAATCAATCACTGGTCCAATGTAGCTTGGGTAGTAAAGTCCTATGCTATAAATGCATATGCAGTTATGCTTCTTACCGGGTAAGATTCTTGGTTCATTCCATATTCAATCGATGTTTATCTGGTAAGTGTTCAGTAAATGACATTTAAGTCCCAAATCTAAACCTCAGTAGTGTTTATCATTTCTTTCCAGTATTCGACAACATTCCAGTGCTAGTTTGAATTGTGAAGGTTAAATCATAATCATGGAAATCTTCAACGCATCTCTGGAAAAAGGTATGAAATTATCAAGAGAATAATAGACATGAAATGGTGAACTGAATTTTGTTACAATGCTTTTAAGAAATGAGCGTTATCTTTTGAGTAAACCAACCAATATTGATTCATAGATTCCACTGGTTGGCGATGGCTAAAAAGGAAACCATCATACTTCTTCTCTCATTTAGAATCCAATCCCGAAACAGGTCCATTATTTGGCTACAGAATATATTCTTATTCCTATGCAATTTGTGAACGGAAAAAATTCCAATTATCCAACCTACTATACTCGTCAATTAATTTGTGGATAAAACAATGGCGGTTTTTGGATTAAATAATTATGTAATAATATTTGCCCAACTTTTTCTTTATCTATACTATATTATAAAGTATTTGACAAAAACTCTTAAAAACCACTTTTTATGCGTAAAGTACTGTTTATTGATGCATATTACTTAAAATTCAAGATTATAAATAGATTGTGCGTAAGTACAACTTATTAAAGCTCCAGTTTTGAATTCGTGTAACTAACTGCGGATAAATATAATCAAATAGATGATAAATATCTCATTTTAAATATAAAAAATCTAAAATATAATTAGGATAATTATTGAGTTTTAACAAACTAATTAATTATTATTTTTATAAGAAAATTGTATTATTAAACCAAATATAAATTACTTAGTTATTAAACCTAAATTAAATTATAATAAAAAGTTGAATTAAAAATTTACACAAAAAATGAGAAATTTTAAATAGTTAATTCGATTCTCAGATTGATATATTTTTGTCAAATTCTTATGATATCTTCAAATTTATATTTTATTCAAAAATAAAAACAATATCATTCTTTCAAAATAACATAAGACCGTATTATAACATCAATCGAGATAAAGAATAAAACGAAATATTAAAATCAAGATATATTTCGCTGCATTGTGCAAATACCCTTCTAGTTCCCTTTATATGTAGACATGGTATCATGTGAGAAAACGTTAATTTAATGAGAAGTGGTGAAAACACATTTATATTATGTAAATACTAGAAACGTACACACGTAATGCAACGAGATACATATCGATTTTAATGTTTCGTTTTATAATACGGTTTTAAGAAAACGATAATGTTTTTTTATTGGAAATAAGATATAAATTTGAAGACCCATAAAAATTTATATCGATATATTAAATTAACAATCTACAAGTTCTCTCTTTTTAGAATAATTTAATTTGTGTTTAATAACGAAGTAATTTATTTTTAAGTCTAATAATATAATGTTTTATGTAGATAATTTTTAGTTGAATCATTTTGTTACAGTTTAATTTAGATTTAATAACAAATTTATTTGTTTTAGGTTTAATAATATATTTTTATTATAAAGATAATAATTACGTATTCTGTTAGAACTTAATTATTATCCTAATTATATTTCACATTCTATATATTTAAAATGAGATGTTCATCATTAATTTCATTATATTTATCAGTTAGTTATACGGATTCAAACATATAGCTTCAAAAAGTTGTACCCATGCATCATTTCACTTGTAATCTTGAATTTTAAGTAGTATACATAATTAAACACTACTTGATGCATTAAAAATGATTTTTAAGAATTTTCCTAAATATTGTATAATATAGTATACATTATATTGTATTTTATGAAAGCGGTAAAAAAGACGAGACCTAAATGTATACCTTTATCAGTTTTTGTGAAAGCGGTCACCTCCACATGTCTTCACACAGTATAAATGTACATTCACATATATTATGTGAATGTCGCATTATATCATTGAAAGTTTCGTTTTTTACGCTTCTCGTGAGGAAATAACGTTTCTCACGGAAAGCCAACCCGTTATATGTAATGGTTAATCAAAATCATATATTAACATATAAGCAAATTAACAGATTATATGGTAAAAATAATCAGTTTCAAAAACTTCAATGGTATTTCTGATAATTTTAATGTTGTAATAACCAAATATAGGTAACTAAAACTGAATATCATTTTATCTGGACAAAAGTTGATTACTGACAATTTCAGCAGGGCCCACATGGAATCAATGGTGGATCTAGGAAATTTTCGAAGTGGTTGCACCAACTAACTATCATAATATATAATATAAATTAATTACAAAATACGTTTTTATCATACACACATACAATTAACGTTAAAACCATGTTATTTTTTTTATTTGTGTTAACATTGAAAATATAATTAACTTTAAAAATATTCAATATTGAGTTCGTTTTGAAGGTATGACGAGACCTTTTTAACGGTGTAATTTATAAAAGAAAATACGTATTTTTTAATGTATTTTAACTAATAATTAATTAATAAAGTATTTAAAAGGTTAAAAGCGTAATTGATTTCCAATTCCAACCACCATTAAATTTCCTAAGGATTTCAATGTTTATAATGTTAGCCCAAAAAAATCTTATGGTTTCACACTTATTTACCTTAAAATATTTACACTTAGACCAATACATTTTTATGGTTTTACGGACAACCACACCTCTAAGGATAGATCCACCCTGCATGGAACTCGCCTCCAATAACACCCATCTAACCAGAGGGTATTTGACTTAACGGTATGTAAGTCTTTGACCTCCTAGGTGGTCAAGATTCAAACCTCACCAAATGTGAGGTGGGTGTGTAAGTTTATCTGTTCTATTTGTCGTATATAAATATTATATATTTCAAAAAAAAATAACACCCATGTAAGAGGACATTTTTTGATAGACTTGAGATTGAACCCATAACATGTCTTGTATTTATGCAAAGTCATATCCACCTTTTGCCACTAGAATTATGCATCAGATGCTATATATCATTTTATTATATATTATTTCTAAAAAAATCCAAAGTTTATTTCTTAAATATAATTTTTAATAAATATAATTATATTTCATATCATAAATATGCTTTTTTTTATTTTTTTTTATTCGAACGTTGATAAGACATAAAAGTTAGTGTCATTACTTATTTGAAATATACATGTAACCAAAACAAGAAATAAAGCAAATACAACAAGTGGATTTGCTTTGGATGACATCAATATGTGATACTTATGCTGGCAATGACAACTCTATATATTCGTGTTTCCAAACTCATCGGTTAATAGCATCTGATGCAGGAATTGATCCGGTGAATCTTGTTTTGTTGTATCTCATCCTAATGTGCATTTAAGGGTGGATATCCATTTTTACGCTTCTCACCTTAACTTTTCTTCTTATCGGAACTCAACCCTATATATATGTATATATATATATATATATATATATACATATGTATATATATATAGGTGGAGGTTCAAACAAGAACACCTCCATTTTACAAGAACGCAAGAACACCTTTATTACATGTGATAATACGCATGAGGGGACCAATGTGTGGACAACATGTTATACGACTTAGGTCGCGCCAAAAGTTGTATGCGCCTATGATTTAGCATCACATGTGATGGTCTTGATGGATTATAGTATCATATTATCAACACTCTTATCACATGTAAAAAAAGTGGTCTCATGGGTCTCACGAAAAACATGTTGGTCTCACGTGATCCCAAACGAAACAATATTTACCATGTAGCAAAATTAGTTAAGTTTATTTGTTTGCTTTTAAAATGACAAGGGGATGTGTATCAATAAGCAAAAACCATTTCAAACATATCAAAACTGTAAAATCTAAAAAAGTACAAGGGGGTGAAGTGCAAAACCACCATACCAACACGGCATTGCATGTATTTAAGGCCTTAACTTCCGTATCAAAAGAGCAAATCGGTTGAAATCGCTGAATCGGTTCACGTTTTCTCTCGATCTATCAAATTCTCAGGTAATTTATCGATAACTTCTGGATTACTTTTCATTATGAATCCAATTTTATTGCATTTCTACTCTACAATTTCGTAAATCCCGATTATAATCATCACTCCGCTGTTGTAGAATGATCGATTCAACAGTCGTTGAAATAATTTTGATGCACTCAAGAAGAAATACGATATGCGTTTGAACAATCATTGCTTAGAGAAGCGATTTATCTCATAACCGACGCATTCTCTTCGATTTGTTGTTCATGAGTATTGAGTAATATTTCAGAGGTCAATTTGTATATTTCTTAGCGTTGATTGATGATTTTACTGGTACGGGATAAATTCACAATAATATGCTTAAATTGATCAAAATAGTCAATCTCCTTGATCAAATTCGTTTTTTAGCCAATTTTGACATTTTTTAGTGAAAGTTTACACAAATACAATGCATAAAAACTATTTTCAGATTAAAAAGATAAAGGAATTTTTTTTACGCAAATCAGGATGTTGTATACACATTCTTCATAGTGAGATTCATTATGAGGTTTGGTCCATTTAAAAAAAATTAGTAGAATCTTACTTGTGTTGATGATATATATATATATATATATATATATATATATATATATATATGTGGTAAAGTGATAAACTCTTTCTCAGTTTATTTTGTTTAAGAGATCAAGTTAGCTAATAAGGTCTGGTCCGGTTGGGTGAATTTTACACATATATTACACTAAAGTTGTTTGAAAGGTCGGGTGACCTTCTGGATTTCCTGCACTGAAACAGTGATTCTAGCGAATTTTCTGATCGTTTTGACAGTTTTTTGGTTTTCTGATTTGGATAAAGTCAAACGTTAGTTTTATTTTATCTACAATCAATTGCAAACACATACACACACACACACACACATATATATATAGAGAGGGAGAGAGAGAGAGAGAGTTGTTCAAACGAGAATACTTCATTTTAGGAGAACGTGATAACACCTTTTTACTATAGACAATCACATGTGGTACTATTTTTCTCCACATATGTTCTCGCATTCTCGTAAAATATAGGTGTTCTCGTTTGAACATCCACCTATATATATATGTTTGTGTAATCACTTATCATTAGATAATTCTCTCAATCTTCCTCCTCTCTTCATTGAAATTCTAAAAGAAATGTTCATTGAATATATATTTAGTTGTTGAATATATTTTAATGATTTAGATAATTCCTGTGGGTATATTAGTCTTTAAAATAGTTTTTGCTGCACTATTTCTATGTCTTCTACCCTACCTTCTAAATTAGGATCCTTATGCAGATTCTTAATGCAAATTTGCCACTAAGGATTTTTTTTAACTGAAAATGGGTAAATATGTAAGGTATTTGTATAAACTCTAATTAAAATGAGAATTTGATTGAAAAAACTGATAAAAAAGTGGATTTGTTCGGGAAAATTGACTATTTTGTAAAAAATAGTCAAAAGTAAGATGGTTTTCTACCCCGTTTAACATTTTACACTTTGTGTTATTTGAAAGAAAATGTAAAGTTGTTACTTGTTAGAAAGGTTTTAGAATCATGGACGGAGGAACAAAGCGATGACCCATGCCACCACGTATGCTATAAAGTGGGTCCGTACCTTCCCCGGATGACCATGGACGGCTTGGGGTCATTGCAGATGAACCTCCATTGGCCAAACGGGCTTTGGCACCACCGTGAATTAGTTCGTTAGGTTTGGTTTAATTTCTATTTTGTGTAAGGATTATTTTCTCCATTCGGGTTTAAACATAGAAACTTGATTGTTTATCTGCAGTTCTTAGTATCTGCTGCAAAAATTCATTCTGATCTCTAGAGATGTTCAAAATCCCCCCTCATCAAGTTGCTGGACACCATGCTAGTAACGGAACCCTCGGTCCCCTAGTCGATGATTCCGGTCGTTTTTACAAGCCTCTCCAAGGTGATGAACGTGGGTCTGCCGAAGTCACATTCTATAAACAGTTTTCTACCAATACCGAAATCCCAGATCGAATTCGTAGATTCTTCCCTGTTTTCTACGGTACTCAAGTTATGAAAGCATCCGATGGTTTTGAGCACCCTCACATCATGTTACAAGATCTTGCTTCATCTCGTTCAAATCCGACCATTATGGACATCAAAATCGGCTCCAGAACGTTTGGGCCCGAAGCTTCGGACGATTACATTGAGAAGTGCTTGAAAAGAGACCGTGAAACCACTACTCTTCGATTAGGATTCAGGATATCAGGTTTGACATTTTGTGTTTCCTTCTTTGTTTTAACCTGGTTTTTGCACTTTGAGTGAGACCAACCTGTTTTTTTGAGACCTTTGAGACTAAAAAAATTTACTAAAATTTCACATAAGAACATTGTGAAGATATAAAAAATACCGAACTTCACAGTAAAAACATTATAAAAACTGACAATGTTAAAGATTCGTTGTTATTTATGTAGTCTTACTACAACTGTTCCACTTTTTCCCAATGCTGCCTTTGCACACATTTTCAACTGTGTTCCTTTCTTTAATTTTTTGTTTTAAGTTAATTACGATATTCGTCCCCGTACTTTGTTAATAATTTTGATTTTTATTCATGTGGCTTAGAATTTGCGTTCTTTGTCCCTATGGTTTACAGTTTATTGCTATTTTTGTTTCTTGACTATTTCCTACCTCTAAGTAGAAGGGACTAAAATGATAAAGAATTGTAGACCACAAGACTGAAACAATAATAAAATGTAAATTATAAGGACGGCATAATGATAAACTACAAACCATAAGGACGAAAACTGTAAATGTTTAAATCACAAGGACAAAAATTGAAAGTTTTAACAGCCCACAAAAAATTCACTCTTTATGTTTGAAAGTTTGGGTATTTACGGGTGTGTTTGATATATGGACCATAATAAGTCTGGAATCTAGATGACTGAGAATGAGGTAGGTAGGTGAAAATTTTTCAGAAGGTTTAGGGTTTTAATCGAACACATGTAGTTTAATAATTTACCTATTTTTTCTGGTCTTCCTGATTTTTGTTCTACCTATTTTTATGGGATGAGAAATATACATTTTATCTCACTCAGATCATGTCTTCTCTAGTAGGACTGCAACTTTTTTGTATTGTCACATATCCTGTCTTGCATACCAAATGCACTTGTAACATAAACAACTTTTCTACCCCTTGGGGTATCTTACCCCATACCATACTCTGCACGCATAAGATTTACTGGATTTTGTTTTGTTTGCTTTTAGGTTTGCAAGTTTACGTTAGCGAAGAGCTCGGGTTTTATAAGCCTTCAAGAGATCTTGTCCTCAAAAGCAGCATAGACGACGTTAAATTGTTATTTAGGAGATTCGTTTCCTCTAATTCATCTGGTTCCGACCCTGACTATGCTTTAGCCTCAAAAGTCTATGGTGGGCCTAACGGGATTTTGGCACAATTATTGGAACTCAAGACATGGTTCGAGGATCAAACTATCTACCACTTTTGTGCTTGTTCGCTTCTTTTCATGTTCGAAAAGACGATGGCGTCAAAAGGGGAGACTTCAAATGCACAAGTCAAACTTATTGATTTCGCACACGTTACAGAAGGTAGGGGTGTGATCGATCACAACTTCTTGGGTGGACTGTGTTCTTTGATTAAGTTCATATCCGAAGTACTTAAAGATCCTGAAGATCACAAGACTCCAGGAGGAGATACGCTAGAATCAACCATTTTAGTTAACAATGGTCACTGATAAACGGGTTTCTTGCAGTCGATTAAATCGAAATCGTCTGATGATCATTAACACGGTGTTTACTAACGCTTTTCATTACATAAAATTTCTAACCGTTAAATGATATAAGGGTAAATTCGTAATTTCAAAAATAATTTGAAGCAAAAAGTTCGAAGAATTTTATTAGTGATTAGTTGCATCAACAAAGTAACTAAATCTGTAAATTAATCTAAACACTTCTTCAAATTGAGCATAGTCTAGTTCACACAGGGATGATAATTTGTCCCGACCCAGTGAGGAACCCGGCTCACCCGACCCGAATGGAGACGAGGATTTCTTGCTAAAACGGGTCCCAGGACCGGGGCCGAGGATCCCCGGTAGACTCAAACCTGGGTTGGGGCTGGGTAGGGTATTCCCCACCCCGCTTTGTACCCGTATATAATTTTATTAATATATTTTATATAATATGTGTGTGTATATATACATATTATTTATTTTTTAAAATTAGGTCTTGACCAGGGACGAGGATTCGGGGTTTGACCCAAAAATAAACCGAGGACGGGATATTAATCCCTATACCTGCCGGGAACTGGGCCGGGGATTTGAAAACTAGCCCTATCCCCGTTCCATTGCCATGCCTAAGTTTACAGATTCGGTCTCCGGAATTGTGGACCATGTTCAATGTTTTTTACCTTTTGATTTACCGACTATGAAATAGTGATTTTAAAAAAGAATGGTTAAGAGGTAAATTTGATCGGCTAAAATGACTTATTTCTATTAATTTTCCTAAAATATTATAGATTAAACCCAACCTAAATCGTTTTATTTTGATGATTGACATTGGTTGTGAGTTCGTTTCATTTTGATGATCGATAGTAGGGGTGCTTATGAGTTGGGTTGATTGAGTTGAATACATTTAAACAACTCAATCTAATGCTTGTAGTTCGAAAAATCTTAACCCAACCTAACCCAAACCAAACCGTACGGGTTGGTCGGGTTGATACATTAAAATATTATTCTAACATTGAATATGTTATTTATCTACTCATAATTTCTTTTTCATCATCAAACATTTGATACAACTTATCCATACTTCTTACGTATATCACATTCAGTTAATTTTTTCAAACATATATATGTTAACAGTTACTGAATATATATACGAATGAGTTATATAGATACGTGATTATATTGAAAATATAATATGTGTATATGCTCTGTGTAATTTTTTGATATATATATTAATAGAAATTCAACAATCATATTAAATCCAACAAATAAAATAATATCGGGTTCATCGGTAGAATTGAGTTTAAATAATACTAATTTAAAATTTTTACAACTATATCTGCTTACAGTTTATTTCGTGTTAAGTCGGGTTTACAGGTTTGAGGACCCCGGATCGATAGTACCGAATAAGTACCGACTAAAATTGAAAAGTAAACAAGAAGGGGGTGGGGTTTTTTTTTTTTTTTTTTTTTTTTTTT